AATCAAGGGGCTGGGAAGGTGGCTCATTGGTAGAGCGCTTGCCTTGCATGCCTGAGGCCCTGGGTTCGATTCCTCAGCACCACATAAGCAAAAAGAAAAAAAAGCTGGAAGTGGCGCTGTGGCTCAAGTGGTAGAGCACTAGCCTTGATCTGAAGAGCTGAGGGATGGTGCCCAGGCCCAGAGTTCAGGTCCCACGACCGGACCCCCCCCCCCAAAAAAAAATCAAGAACATAATTTAAGTGGGGGGAAGCTTATCTTTAATTGCTGAGAAAACGTCTAGGACCACAGAGTGCAAAGAAGTTCATGAGGGCATTGACAGGGCCTTTCAAGCCATATTTTACAGACAAAAAGTGATATCCAGAGATCTGTTTCAATTTCACAAAAGGTTAAACACTCACAAATCCCGAACTCAGTCTCTTAGGTGTGTGCCTTTCCACTGTGACTGGCTCTCCTGAGGGCAGTGACTGGAGGGAAATTGCTATCCAGTCTTTTTGTTCAGCGCAGTCCCAACACATGATACATTATCATCTTTTTCATTTTCTTACAAATCATTCTTAAATAAAAATAAATAAAACTTGGTAAATAAAATCAAAGTCTCCTTTATCTCTCATCTCTAGTATAATTTACCACTCTATTCTCCAGAGGCAAACACTGTCATGAATTTAATGGAATATGTACAGAAACTCTTGAGCAGTGACAAATGTCTTGGCTGGCTAATGAGTAATCTGGAGTTGAGAAGATTATGAGGTGAGAGGCAAAAAGGCTTTAGGTAGAAAAATATGGAGTGGACACAGAAAGGTAATGTTCATCAGGGAACATCTGTCGGGGGTAGCCACTGAACAACCAGACAAAATGACAGCCAGCTAATTTCAACTATATCATTAGATGCCCAGGAACTGACAATACATGCATTAATGACATAGCACACCATCTATGCAAGATTTGACACAGCATGTTTAGCAATACTGAATCACCTATTAACACTGTCTGATGTCCAATTTCCAGCAAAAGAGACCAATCTTGGACTTGTCAAAAACTGCTACTATCTTTTGAGGATACAGCTTGTCACTTGATATCAAGCTGATTACTTTGGAAACCTCTGAATGTATCAACTATTCATCTTGACGTGAATAAATATTTTTGGAATGTATTTTCATTTACTGATCACAGAGACTCAAACAGCAGCATCACTCGGGGGCTCAGAGGGTGTGATAGAGATAGGTCACATTATGAAATAACATTATACAAGACCAAAAGACCTACTTTATAGGAAAGAGGGCACAGGAATGGGACCATAACTACAGATGATTGATTGTATTAGTCCCCAAAAAAGTGAGTGAGAAAATGACCTGTTAAGAGTACAGTAGAAACGTTACCTTATTGGCAATATTTTGCAAGGTACATTTTAAATCCTTGTATAAATCTGTGATTAATTACAATAGGTAGAGAATATGAGTCTAAGAACCACTGAGTGAAAATAAGAGTGGCCTGCTTAGCATCAGTCCTAGTGACACATTTCATAGGATTACTAAAGATTTAGCAAATAAAAATACGAGTCCCAGTTTAAATATTTGAATTTCAGCTAAACAAATTTGTCTTATGAAATATCTGAGACATTTTATCTGAAATTCAAATTTAAGCAACCTGTCTTTTTTTATCTGGCATCCTTAACACTTGGAGAATTTGTACTTCCTATCATATACTAGACTTTATGGTTTACAAGTCTTGGTTCCAAAATTAGGGAGGCTCACTTCTATTAGTAGGCAAAGGAAAAGGTCCACTGAACTATAAACTATGGCCACTGTCTAGGTAATTATATTTCCTTTGAAAAAGTACCAACAACCTATACAACATGACGATGGAAGAAAATGGGAAACATGTAGGTAATGTGGTTTGGTGCCTCTTGGGAATTCCTTATTCAATTTTGATGATAAATACACAGGGCAGCAAGTTATCTGAGAAGGTCATGGTTACTAGGGACTCAGATCTGTTAAGAATGATGCCCTAAAAGCAGTAGAGATTCTAGCTGAACGTTTAAGGGAAGTTAGAATGGGCAGTGAAGGAGCGAGAAGATTGTGACTCAATTGATTCCAGATAAACTGCAATGGTGGGAGCTGTAGTATGTCCCATTAACTTTTTTTTTTAGATTTCTCCTAGGAAGAAAGGTGCACTGGAATCCTGGAGGGTCTGCATGCAGAATTTATATGAAGGAAGTGGATTGCAGAAGAACAAGGGATGGATTTTGTGGATATCATAAGTTGTGGTCCAGCTCCTACTTTAAAAATACAGGGCTCAAGCCCAAGCTATGTGTATGCTGTCAGAAGGCCTTTAGTCTTCTTCCCTGGGAGGGAATTATTGTAGCCAAAGAAAGCTGCTTTATCCAAGCAGTTTCTCATCCTCCAAGCCACTGGAATCCACTAATATGTACCTGTCTCTATGAGTTTATTCTGAATAATGTAAATGTAATAATTCAATGAATAATCTTTTCTGTCTAGCATCCTTAAGATAATTTTTTTTTTTTTGTCGGTTGTGGGGTTGAACTCTGGGCCTGAGTGCTGTCCCTCAGTTCTTCAGCTCAAGGCGAGCGCTCTACCACTTGAGCTACAGCACTACTTCCGGTTTTCTGGTGATTTATTGGAGATAGGAGTCTCACCATCTTTCCTGCCCGGGCTGGCTTTGAACCGCGATCCTCAGATCTCAGCCTCCTGAGTAGCTAGGATTACAGGCGTGAGCCACCAGCGCCCGGCTCTTAAGATAATTTTTTGAGGTTCATAATTTTATAACATATATCTGCACTCCCCTGCTTTAATTTTTATCTTGACAATTGTATATATATTGAAATACATATTTTTAATTGTATACATATTTTTAAATACATGTTCATTGCAGAATGACTAAATCAAGCTAATTAATGTATAGATTACCTCACTTTATGTTGGTGATGAGAATACTTAAAATCTACTATCAGAAGTATTTAAGTATATTAAGCATTGTAATTATAGCCATGCTATACAACAGATCTCTTGAACTTACTTTTTCTGATTAAAATTATGTGTTATATGATCAGCATCTCACCTCATCCCACAGCGTTGATAACCATCATTCTGCTATTATTTAAGAAACTGTGTAAGTGAGATCACACACTATCATTCAGTGTTTATTTCATTAAACAAAATGCCTTAAAAATTCATCCACATTACCACAAATGGCAGGATTTCATTTTTTAAGCTGAGTAGTATCATATTGGCCTATTGAATATGCCAATTCAATTGACTAATGCTATAATGAATATGGAAGAGCAAAGAAACCTTCTGTACACAGATTTCATTTTCTTTGGATATATATCAAGTAGAGAGATGGTGGATCATATGGTAATTCTACTTTTGCCTTCATAGTGTTTCGTATAATGACTGTACTAATTTACTTTCCCAACAGCAGTGTGTAAAGAGTTCCCTTTTCTCCACATCTGTCAGTTCATGCTTTTACCTTTTGATATTATTAATTTTAATAGTTCATCGTGGTTTTAGTTTGCACTTCCTTAGTGATTAAAGATGTTGAGTGCTTCTTTTTTATACTCTTTGGTTATTTGTATGTCTTTTAAACATTTAATTTGATCTATTTTTAAATCAGATGGTTTCCCTTGCTTAGTTATTCGAGCTCTTGATCTATTATGAATATTAACCTTTTATGAGCTGTAAAGTTTGACAATACATTCTTTTAGTCTATAGGTTGTGTCTACTCTGTTGATTGTTCTATTGAATCTTTGCCTACAATCATTCCTACTGTGTTCTAATCATTTTACATTTTCATATCTTACATTTAAGTGAATTTATATATGGAATAGGATAAGAACACAATTGCATTCACCTTAGTGTGGAAAATTACTGCCATCACTACTGAAGACTATTGCTTTCCTCTTGGTTTCTTTATTGAAAACCAAATGGTTTTAATAGCATGGATTTATTTCTCGATTCTGTTTTTTTGTTCATGTTTTTATGCTAGTTTTCATGTTTTATGCTATTTTCATGTATCATGCTATTTTGACTGCTGTATTTTTTATGGGTCGTGAGCCTTGAATTCAGGGCCTTAGTGCTGTCCCTGAACTTTTTTGCTCAAGGCCAGCGCTCTACTATTTGAGACTCAGCTCCACTTTTGGATTTTTGGTTTTAATTGGAAATCAGAGTCTTATGGACCTCCCTGGACTAGCTTTGAACCATGATCCTCAGATCTTAGTCTCCCTCTTGAGTAGCTAGGATTATAGGCTTGAGCCACTGGCGCCCAGCCATTATATTTTATTTTTGTTTATTGATCTATTCAAGTTCTAGCTTTATTATTCAATCTTGGTATGTTCTTTGTTGCTAGGAATTTGTCCTTGTAAGTTATCCAATTTGTTGGCATATAATTATTCATATCAGTCTTTTGTATTTTATATATGTAGTACTATTTTATATTCTGTGATACCAGTCATAATGTCTTCTTTTTGAATTTCTGAATTGAGTCTTTATTTTCATGATTGGTCTGTCGTAAAGTTTATCAGCTTTATCTTTTGAAAACTCAATTCCTTCCAGGCCGCCGGCCCTGGGAAGAGTGCATGTCCGTTTCCTCCTATTACAGAGGCCGTGATTTGTAAAAAGTCTATATTTTGTGGAATGTCAGGTTGAGAAGCATTACCAATAGGAATGGATCGATAGTTGAATAAGGACTTTTTAAAATAAATATACACATAGAGATATAAAGTACAGCCAGGAAACACCTAAACTGCTTTTCTTTACAACTATTTCCCAAGCTAAGTGTGGTTTTTCTCCCCAAGACTGAACTTAGACCAAGCCAAAGTCTCACTTACCATTTGGTTACTTTTGGTTTTGGTTTTGAAGATTAGAGGAAGAATGTGTAAGCATTTATTTAGACTTTGATATTGATTAAAGCAGTGAGCTCACCGTGCAAGTGGATGGATCGGGAGAAAAGCCTTTTCAAACCGGTCAGGTCACTCTAAAGCGTAGCCAGCCTTCTGGGACATCTCAACATGTCCCTGTGCTGTCGCCGATGGCGACACGAGTTCCCCAACCGATGGGCGGCTAGGCCGAGTAACCAAGAACAGTTGGTGGTTTTCACGTTTTAAGACTTCGATCCACCCCACGAGAGCAAGTTATTGTGGAATTCTGTTTGGTGTAAAGTCCTTCCAGAGCGTGTGCTGTTCCGGATGGCTGCATGAGCCCGAGGCTCGTGTTCCTCCGGCATTGTTGGTTTGTCTCTGTGGACGGGGTTGCACGTTTCCAAGTTACCACAGCGTGAAACTGTGCGTTTAAAAATAAATTTAAAAAAAGAGAGATTGCGGCCTGGGTTTGTACCGAGTTTTAGGTGAAAGTTACAGCGGATCGTTTTAGGACTCATTACTGAAACATTTCTGCGATGGTAAAGCTGTATCCAAGCGTGGGGCTCAGCCACTATGCACGTTGTAATTACCAGGGCTTCTATGATGCATTCTGGCGTTTTGTAAGCTGATCTGACTAGCAATGTACAGATTCAATTAATGTGTTAACATCGGTTAATAAATGTATTTTAAAAACAAACTCAATTCCTAGGTCTGGCATGGGTGTTGCAAGTCTGCAAGTCCAGCATTTGATGCCAGTCTAGGCATCATAGCAAGCCCTTGCCTCAAAACAGGCAAGTGTATAAGCAAACACTCTGCGACAGTCAGCTTCATTGATTATCTCTAGGTATGTTTTGTTAATATGGAATGTATTCTAATTTGAGGCTTAGTTTGTTTCCTTTCTGATTTCTTGAGTCTTAACATTAGGTTGCTTACTTGAGCTTTTTCTTTTTACATGTATTTATTGCTATAAAATTCCCTCTTAGAACTGTCAGTGCTGTATACCATAAATCTAGAATGTTATGTATCCATTTTCATTTGTCTCTAGATACTTTTATTGTTTTTGGACGAATTTTCTAACTTTATCTTTGAATACTTGTACAAGTGGGCTTTAATTCAACATGTCGGTTTATGAGTACAATCCATCTTGGTCCATGCAGTCACTTCCAATTTTCTTCCTAATATGTTTTAAATTTTGCTGCCCTTTTCTTCTTTGACTCATGGGTTGTTCATTTCCATGTAAATGTGATTTTTCCAAGATTTCTCCTTGTATTGATTTCTAGTTTCATATAATTCTTAGAAAAGAAACTTGATGTTATTTCTAAATTTCTCAGTACTTGTTTTGTGACCTGATATGTGCTCTGTTCCAGAAAATGTTCTGTGTGGGCTTGAGAAGAATATTTGTATTTCTCTGCTTTCTGGTCCTGGGGCTTGAACTCAGGGCCTGGGCACTGTCCTTGACCTATCTGTGCTCAAGGCAAGCACTCTACCACTTGAACCACAGCACCACTGCCTGCTTTTTCTGTTTATGTGGTACTGAGGAATCAAACTCGGGGCTTCATGCATGCTAGGCAAGCAGTCTAAACTGTATTCCCAGCCCCTCTGCTTTTGAGTGTAATGTTTTCTCTATGTCTTTTAGGTTTGCTGGATCTAAAGTGTAGTTGAAATGCAATGTTTTACTATTGGTTTTCAGTCTGTATTATCCATCAGTGTCCAAAAGTGGAGATACTTAAATCTCTGCTATTACTGTATTCTACTTAATCTCTCCCTTCAGATGTGTGTGTGGGGGGGGGGGGGGGCGTGGGGGTGGGTGTGGGTGAGGGTGAGAGAAAAAGAAAGAAAAAAGAAAGATAAGAAAGAAGAGAGAGGGCTGGGAAGGTAGCTCAGCGGTAGAGTGTGTGCCTTGCAAGCATGAGGCCCTGGGTTTGATTCCTCAGCACCACATAAACAGAAAAAGCCGGAAGTGGCGCTGTGGCTCCAGTGATAGGGCGCTAGCCTTGAGCTGAAGAGCTGAAGACAGCACCCGGGCCCAGAGTTCAGGCCCCATGACCGGCAAAAAAAAAAAAAAAGAAGAGAGAGATGAGCTCTTACTATGTTGCTCAGGCTGTTTTTTGCTCCTGGATCTCTTTAGTTTTTTAGCCAAGTTAAAAAAGCTATTTTAAAAATAAATATTTACATCTAAAATAAATGTCTAAAGCTATTAAAATTCTTCTTTAGCAGTTTTCTGCCTTTTTTCCCATTGTGAGGTGAGGGGCCATGTTTCATAGCTCTTTGTATACCTTGAAACTTTTTGTTTAAAGTTAGACATTCAAATATTACAATATGATAACCCTGGAAATTCATTTTCCTCCTTTCTCAGGCGTTTCTGTTGTCAGTTAAGGATACAATCATCCATTTGTTTTGTAACTTATTCAAATTATTTTTATGAAGACTATATTCCATTTTGTGACCATTTTGTGTTCTCTGTTATTATCTCAATAGCCAGTGATTTGAGACAGATTTTCTCCCCTCCCCCCCACCTTTTTTAATTGTAAAGATGCTGTGCAGAGGGGTTACAGTTACATGAGTGAGGCAATGAGGACATTTCTTGTTGAGCATTGCTTCCTCTTCCTTTGATTTTCTCCTACTGTCTCTTCCTTCTACCACTCCCCCCACAGATTTTCTTAAAAACCCAAGTTTGTCTGCTTTTACATTTCTCTGATTATTCAATGCTCTGTTTGCTTCAAGGTTTTGGCTATATTTTGGAGTTCTGACGTAATTGATTTGTCAGGTTAGAGCAGTTGAAGTTCACTCCAATGGAGGGATAAATTCTTTAAGCATTGTTCTACACTACTTTCTCTAGTGTACCTTCTATCTTCTTCTTTGTTGGTCGTGGGATTTTTTAACTCTGGCCTGGGCACTGTCCCTCAGCTCTTCAGCTCAAGGCTCGTACTCTACCACTGGAGCCACAGCACCACTTTCAGTTTTCTGAATAATTTATTGGAGATAAGAGTCTCATGGACTTTTCCTGCCCGGGCTGGCTTTGAACCATGATCATCAGATCTCAGCTTCCTGAATAGCTAGGATTACAAGTGTGAACCACCAGCACCTGGCCCCTCCCTTCTATTTTCACGTAGACTTTTTGATGTTGGTCTTGCTTTATTTTTATTTTTATTTTAAAACAATATTCTTTGTTTCCTGGGACTTTGGAGACTGAAAATAGTTAAGGATGCACAATGTAATATCACACATTTTCTCTTAATGCTTGACATTTATTACTTTAACCTATTAAAATAATATTTCAGCTATAGCTAGATCTTAACTTTTCCCAGTTTCACTGACTGAATTGTAAATAAACTTTTTCTTATGTAGTATATACACAAACTGTAACACTTTAATCTCATTTTATATTTTGCCGCCAGTAATACTGTTTAAAAGTTACATTTACATTTACTTACATTTTACTATATACTTTCTGTACTCTATTTTTATTCCAGGTGACTCCATATGAGCAAATGGGGCAGGTGATATCCTCTTACCTTGAAGGTTAGTTTTTTTTAATGTGTTATTATGTCTTTGAATATGTATTCAGTGAAATTTTGGAACTCTAACTCACCTCAAATAATTGTTATCAAAACTTTTCCTCAAAAGGTAAATTACATTTTTCACTATTGCCAAAAAATATTTGTGGTATTAGACTATCACTGGAAAGTAAAGCAAAGCAAAATACAGTTAGAAGCCTGGATAATTCTTATTCTACATGTATAACAGTCCAGTGTTAGTAAATTAGTTATTGCATTTGTTTATCTGTGTTTCCAAATTTTTTCTACCCTGTAGATCTAATGAAATCCTTTCATTGTTCACTGATACCATTACGAAAACACATTCAACACATCAGTAATATGATAATCAAATATTTAGCAACTACTCAAGCACAAGCATGGAATAAACAGATCACACAGTGTTGTTGGTCAGCATTCCAGAGGTTCCCTGCTATGTTGTGTCAGTGTTGAGAGAAATAGGAGCTCCCAAGGAGTCAAGATAGATAAGCAGCCATGTTTTACACGTTAGTACAGAAGTATTTTAAAATTCTAATAGTTGAAATAGTCATACCTATGTAGTGATTCCATATCCATTCAGAAACTGGATAATTTAATTCAAATATCCAGGAAGATAGCTGGAGAAAGGTGTGCAGGCAATTGTGTTTCTCTATATCATAGATAAATTCTGGTTTATAGGAAAAAGAAACAGATCAAAGTGTGGTGAACAAGCACAATTTTAGAACAAAACTAGCAAATAGAAGTTTGCCTTAGCTTGATGAGTAGAATGGGGCCAATATGAAACACAGCATGGCTATAACTTAATATCGTAGTCATATGTGTTATCGCTCATCTATTCCATGAAGGAAGCTATTTTGGAATGTATAGTTTTAGGGCTATTACTTCAAAGTTTAAAGTACATGTAAATTATTACTTAGAAGAAAAAAATTACAAACTACTAAGGATATCTAACAGAAGAAATTTCTAAGCCAAACATGGAAGGAGCCATATGGCTTTTGTTAAACTACATGTTGTAAAATAATAGAGAAGAAAAATAATTTAAAGAAGGACTTTATAGCTAAAAGGAAGCAGACTGGAAAAATTCAGAGCTTGGTCATGTAAAAAGTAACAAGTAGTATTTAGAAAAACAAATCAGGGGCATGACCTAAGCAATCCTTTGCTAGAAGGAGTAATTGGCATAGAAAAGTTCCTGTCCCAATTCAAGATTATGGGGCCATGACACCAAAAGAATCTCAGAGATCATAGAGGTAAGTCAGGAACTTGACAGCAAAATTTCAGAGGCCAGTCTTTGTAGTCACATGTGACCACAGTGTCTGTTCCCCACATTCCAGCATAGTCCTCCTTTAGCCACTCTAGCCATAGCTCAAGCCACCCTTGTACAACTCATGATTCTGCCATTGGGGCAAAAATCATAGGCCCTAGTGCCAGTCACAGGTACTAATTCTGTAGATGCCCAAGTTTTCAATCTGTGAAGGTATGGTTATTTCCACCTAAATCTCCAATGATACCATGAACAATCTGGTGTCTGAGCAGAGACTTATCACAAGGGTGGAGCAACAGCTGAGGGCCTCCACTGTGGCAGGCAGTGCACAGTGGGAGTGTGGTATGAGTGCTGCCACTGATGCTCTGAAGCTACTAGCTTGTATTGCCAAGCAGACAGTTGCAAATCTGCAGCACCTGCCAGCTGCAGACATGAAATTTCAAACCAAGAGTGGCTACGTGGGCTCAGCGCAGACCCTGCACTAAAGTGGGAAAGAAGTGGATGCTACCTGTCGCTGTGCTGCGTGAGGCCTTAGGGGCCAGCCTTCCTTCCCAGAAAATGTAACACGGAGTCAGGAAAGATGACTCTGGACCTTAAGTTCTGATGTTTCCATCCTGTACAAAAATCGATTTCAAATAGAATAAACTGCTAAACGATAAGACTATCAACCTTGAAACTGCTAGAGAAGACAGAGAAAACCCTTGAAGATACAGGCATACAGAAAATACGAGCAAGAATTGAAGAATGGGATTGCATCACATTGAAAAATTTTTGCACAGTAAAGGGAACAATCTCTAGAATCAAAAGAAAACACAAAGTAGATAATAATATTTGCCATTTATCCCATTAAAAGATCCATACAGTGTGTGTGTGTGTGTGTGTGTGTGTGCAAAACACCAAAAGAATCCAATTAATCCATGGGCAAATAAATAGCTCCTTAAAAGAAGTATTAGTACAATAAATACTAAGACTAAATTATCATAAAAAAATCCATGAAGTGTGTTCAATATTGTTACCCTTAAAGGAAATTTAATTAAAATCTTATTAAGATTCCAGCTCACCTCAGTCAGAATAGCTATTATCAAGAAACACAAATTCTGGTGAAGATGTAGGAAATACAATATGCTTATACACTATGGGGGGGGGAATGTAAATTAGTGCAACTGCTATGAAAAATAAGTATGAGTGTCCTTCAAAAACTACAGCTTGAAGTATCATATGATTCTGCTGTATCATACCTGGGAATATATCCAAAGTAACATAGGTCAACATTCAGTAGAACCATCTGTACCTTCTAATATTCACAATATGGAAGCAGCTCAGATGTCCATCAACCAAAAATGGATAAAGAAAATACAGTACAGGGCTGGGAAGGTGGCTCAGTGGTAGAGTGCTTGCCTTGCATGCATGAGGCCCTGGGTTCGATTCCTCAGCACCACATAAGCAAAAAGAAAAAAGCTGGAAGTGGCACTGTGGCTCAAGTGGTAGAGCGCTAGCCTTGAGCTGAAGAGCTGAGGGACAGCGCCCAGGCCCAGAGTTCAGGCCCACAACCAGACCCCCCCCCCAAAAAAAAGAGAAAACACAGTACATCCTTCCTTCAGTCATAAAGAAAAATGTAAGTAGGTAATTTGCAGGAAGATAGATGGAACTAGAAATCATCATGCTGGAACTGGCGCTGTGGCTCAAGTAGTCGAGCGCTAGCCTTGAGCTAAAGAGCTGAGGGACAGCACCCAGGCCCGGAGTTTAGACCCCATGACCGACCCACCGTCCCCCCCAAAAATCTCAGAGACAATTAAAAACACACACATACACACAAATGTAGAAATCCTGTTAAGCAAAATGAGCCAAACTGAAAAAGTCACACATTCATACTCTCCCATACGTGGAATCAAGTCCTTAAAAAGGAGTAAGAGGTGAGTAGATGCCAGCAGGAGTGGGAAGAGCAAGGGAAGAGGCTCTGGGGAGTGATAACTGTGGCTGAAGTATTCTATAAATATATCCTTCTAGCCATAGAAGAACTTTTAGACTAAATCTGACTAGGAAGTTTTTTTTTATTCTATTGTTTTCCAGTATTTATTGGAAGGGGAAAAGTATTCTATCAACCAAAAAGAGAATATAAAGTTGATCTCATCCCTGCTCTGTCATTATTTTAAACATTTATGTATGCATGTATTGATTTACTTACTATGATTCTGGGAATCAGGCTTTGGGCCTTGCACATACTCTATTACTGAGCTATACTTCCAAGCCTCTATTTCCCCATTTTAAAGGTCAAAGAGTGAAACTAGGTCCTGACAGTCATATCTCAGTACTCTTCACGTGCCTTATGTTGCCTTATTTAGTCTTGAGAGCTTTGTCTCCCTTATTTACCATTTACCATATATATCTTATTTCACATACCTTATTTAATCTTTTCATATCTTTGCATACCTTATTTACCTTATATACCTTATTTCATGTACCTTATTTAATCTTCATATAGCCCTACAATCCTAGTTCTACAGATGAGAAAAATATGGCAAGTCTTGAGTAATTTTAAAAACTATAAAAACTGCATTTAAAGAAGCTAGTAATCCAGTTTCTTCTCAAGAGTCTTTGTAAGCAATGGCAAGTAAAATTTGTGTTGTATGCAAAAATAGAAGTAAATGCTTAGGGAGAATTTCAACATGAGTTGGATTCCATGAGTTACTATTACCCATGAGAGGTTTGTGGCCATCCCACTTACTTCTGCATATTTTTCACTGAGACTCTTTTGTGTGTGTCGGTTGTGGGGCTTGAACTCTGGGCCTGGGCGTTGTCCCTCAGCTCTTCAGCTCAAGGCTAGTGCTCTATCACTTGAGCCACTGTGCCAATTCTGCTTCTCTGAGTGGTTTTATTGGAGATAATAGTCTCACAGAGTTTCCTGCCCGGGCTGTCTTTGAACTGTGATCCTCAGATCTCAGTCTCCTGAGTAGCTAGGATTATAGGCGTGAGCCACCAACACCCAGCTACTGAGACTCTCTTACTCTCAATATTTATGCACATATTATTTCAGTCTCTCCTCTCTATTCATAAAAATCAAGGTCCTTTCACTCCCTGTTTTCCTTACATAAGACTCCCCTCTAGAATCATGAGTTCTTGAGAATATAAAGAATTTCCATGAACGGTATCTAGAATGGAGATTGTCTACACAGCTTTACAGAATTTGGCATGTATAGCAAAATATAATGAAGTGTTCCCTGACTGTCAGAGGGTAGGCTAAAATGAGGATACTCCAGGATGGTAGAGAGAAGCCATGACCATAGCTTTGAATGATGTACAGAAGATTTGGCAGCCATAAAAACCAGGAGTACAATTATGACATTGAAATTTTTTCTTATAGTTCATTTCTTGACACTTAAGAACAAGAGTCAAAAAGCAGAAGTCCTTAATACAGAAGTATTTACCATAATTTGGCTGAAAGACAATCTCTTACGTACCCAAAATGTACATTGTGTGATGATGTTTAATTTCAAAACCCTTGATGTACACATTTTAACAACAGTACAGGAAAATAGTATGGTTACTGGATGACAAACCCCACAGTGCAATATGTCCCAAAGTCAGAGAAGAAGAGGAGCCAGCCAAGATGGTAACACACTTTACCTTTATTCTGTGCTTCTTATGCTCCAGGCAGTGTTGTGCATTAGCCCATTAACTCACACAGCATCTTCATCCCTTGGCAAATGAGGAAAATAAAGCCGAGAGGCAGGATTACTCCTCAAAGGTAAACCATTAGTTGCACAGACTGAGTCCACATGCTCTCCTCCAGAGCTGGTCCTCTCAGCCACTCTGCCTTCACAATCATGGACAGAGACATGTCTGTAAAACACACTTGTCAAGTTCTACAGGTGCCATCTTGTTTATATAATCAATTTTAATTCTTTTTCAGACCTAATTTATGACAAGACCCCAGAACAAAAACATGTAAATAAAAAAGGAAGAAATGTAAGTTATGGATTTATCTTTTTAAACCGCTGTTGGCATTTTACTTTGTTTTAATATTACTGCCAGGGCTGGGAAGGTGGCTCAGTGGTAGAGTGGTAGAGTGGCTTGCCTTGCATGCATGAGGCCCTGAGTTCGATTCCTCAGCACCACATAAGCAAAAAGAAAAAAGCCGGAAGTAGCACTGTGGCTCAAGTGGTAGAGTGCTAGCCTTGAGCTGAAGAGCTGAGGGACAGTGCCCAGGCCCAGAGTTCAAGCCCCACGACCAGACCCCCATCCAAAAAACATTACTGCCAGTAACATTCTATCATACGGAAACACAGTCTTTATTCTTGTAAAATTATGAATTTATTTGTCAAATCTCTCCTATTTTCTGTGCCCCTGGAACTCTTTTCAAAAAGTTCCTGCCTGTGTATTTATGTTCTAATGTTTCACTTACTCCATCTTGCAATAGTTTTAGTAGTGTTGAGATTAAGTCAGGTGTTATCATATCTGGCTCATATAAAACTTTTTTTTTTGTCGGTCATGGGGCTTGAACTCTAGGCTTGGGTGCTGTCCCTGTGCTTTTCAGCTCAAGGCAAGTGCTCTACCACTTGAGCCAAAGCACCACTTCCAGTTTTTTCTGGTGGTTAATTGGAGATAAGAGTCTCACGGACTTTCCTGTTTGGGCTAGCTTTGAACCATGATCCTCAGAACTCAGCCTCCTGAGTAGCTAGGATGACAGGCATGAGCCACCAGTGCCCAGCTTCATATAAAACTTTTGTAAACAAAAAAACTTAAGCACATTTATCCTGAGGATGGGAGACTATTTTAGGCATTAATTTTAGAAAGCTAAAAGAACACAGGAAAACAAACTGGGACAGGATGTTGGACTGGACATGTAGATCTATTCTCAGGGATCAGTTTTTTTTTTTAAGTTGTTAATGGAAGAGCTGCATCCAGAACATCTGAATAGCTGAGAAATTCTTTCACACTAAGTTTCTTTCTGTGTGTATACAGAAAATATACTGCTGGAAGCTCTGTCTTTTCCCAACAACCTACATCTAGATCCATAAATTTCTCACAATAGAAAATGTTCAATGTACCTAATCCATTCTTGATTTCTATGGATGCCCTAAAAAGTATCAAAAATACAATCTCTTCCATCTTAACCCCATCTTAAGATAATTACTGTCCTCAAACAGTAATTATCTATGGATTAACCAATAAAAAGGAAATATGTATGTTCCCTACTAATATTAAATAATTTTAAGCCTATAATAGTTAAGTTGTATAGTAATTAGTAGAGAAAAACAAAATTATATTCATGTAGTTTTTACATTAACATAATATTAATGTTATAATAACATAATTGAAATTGTGTTGACTTAATGTTAATATAATAATTAGTTAAATAATGCAAAGCACTGAGATAGCCTGTGTAAATAAGGGGTTGATATATAATAATAAGAATGTCAAATTAGCATATGGTAAAAGCTGAATTTTAAGGCATTGGATAAAAGAGATCTATAGAAAGAATACAGGTCATCTAGATCTGGCTTTGGTCTGTTTGATCATTACCCTGAACCATTATCTGAGGCTATACAATAAAGAATTGTTTGTGCAAAGAAGGCCTTTGTTCCTTGGGAGTAGATTTTGTTCTTTATCCTAAGATGTTCATTAATCAGACCTATTGGTCTTGTGATCCACAATAACTGCAGGAAAGAAAGGGTTGAGAGAACCCAGAAGGAATAAGTACAAAGATGAAGTTAGGTCAATGGATGAACCCTACCCATAATGGACTTCCTTTATTTTACTTTATATTGTTATCTTTAAGTAGTTGTACAGAGGAGTTGCCATTTAACAAAGGCGCTTACATGGCAATTTGATCAGTGTTACCCCTTTCAGCATTCTCTCCCATCCCTCCCCTACCCACTCCTTCCCTTACTCTTCTTAATTTTATAGAATATACATTGGATTCCTGTCTGCATTCCCGCCCCCATCCCTCTTCATTCATACACCCCTTTCCCCCTGACTCTACCCCACCTCTTTCAAGTATCCACTTCTTGGTTTTTTATTTTGCTCTACTTTGATTTAGTCTTTCTATTTAAGATCTCCCTTGAGTCTAACATACTCCAGTTAATACATTTGTATATGTTTGCATACTACCCAATGTATTTACTTATGAGTTGTTAAAGCTAAATCTAGCTTCAACATACAAGGGAAAAATATGGATACTTTGTTTCTCTGAGCCTGACTTACTTAATATCATTTTTCCAAGTCTTTCCATTTCTTTACAAATTGTACAATATCATTCATTCTAATGGATGAGTAGAATTCCATTGTGTATATATACCACATTTTCTTGATCCATTTGGATTCCACAACCTTGGCTATGGTGAGTAGTGCTGCAATAAACATTGTTGTACTGGTAGCTTTACTGCAACCTGGTTTGTGATCTTTTTGGAAAACCTCAGGAGTAGAATGCTGGATCATAGGCTAGTTCTATGTTTTGTTGTTTTTTTTTTTTTGAGGAACCTCTGCACTGCTTTCCAGAGTGGTTGAACAGGTTTAGATCAAATGTTAGAAGTTAAAACTATTTTTAAAATTTTTATTATAAAGGTCAGGGCTTGGAAGGTAGCTCAGTGGTAGAGCATTTGCCTTGCATGCCTGAGGCCCTGAATTCAATTCCTCAGCACCACATAAGAAAAAAGAAAAAAGCCGGAATTGGCACTGTGGCTTAAGTGGTAGAGCGCTAGCCTTGAGCTGAAGAGCTGAGGGACAGCGCCCAGGCCAGAGTTCAGGCCCACGACCGGACCCCCCCCCCACACACACAAAAAAAATTTATTATAAAGGTAATATACAGAGGGGTTAAGTTACACTATTTTAAGGGATATTTGGGGTAATTCAATAAAGGAAAACATAATGAATAAAAGGACAAATATAGAAACATGAGGTATACTTTTAGAATTCAGATTCAGACATATTTGGCTGGAGGAGAGGAACAATACAGAAGAATACTGAGAAGCTTGGAGAGTTATTTACAGGCCAGGACTATGAGTAACAGAAGTGGAAAGCCATTGAAGATTTAAGAATAAGGTCATGGCTGAGTACTGGTAGTTAGCTATTTAGGAGATTTGAGGATCACCATTCAAAGTCAGCCTCAAAGGAGAGTCTGTAAGATTCTTAACTGCAAGTAACCACCAAAAAGCTGGAAGAGGAGCTGTGGCTCAAGTGATAGATCAGTAACCTTCGGCAAAAAAGCTCAAATACAGTTTTCAGGCCCCGAGTTCAAGTCCAAATACCAGCATACATACACGCATGCGCGCGCGCGCACACACACACACACACACACACACACATACACACACACACACACACACACACACACACACACACACACACACAAAAGAATAAAGTCATGGTAAATGCATGATTTTAATGAGGCTTAACACCATACCAAAGTATCTCTTATGAAAATATCACTGACTTAATTAACTGTGTATAATGAACCTTTCACAGACTAAGGAGATAATGTATAGGATAGTGATTTGAAACACTAAATGTTCATTGAGTAGACAGTGACAACTTTGCTGTGGACATATTTGCATGGTATGTGAGGAAGCCTTCAGAACCACAAGCCTCCTTACTGTGTGGTGAAGAAGAAACCTGGGAAGCCTTGATTTCTAGTCATCTGGGTTACTCGAGGCAAGAAACTTCAGCTTCAGATTCTGCATAAAATAAACGAGGACTGAACTACCTACCTCTAAAGTACCTCAATCTCAAAAATTCACTCATTCCATGATGATAGACTAGAGGTGGCCTTGGTTGAAATGAATCATTGAAAAGTCCTATCTCCACAGAATATGAGCTCTTCTTACTTTGTAAATTATTTCATGACCTCTCAGTATCACATTACATTTGTTATAATAATTCTGTTCAGTTTATTTTTCTTTTTCACTTTTACTTGAAGCTCTCATGTATTGATTTTTTAAAACTTCAGTAGGGTAGCAATTACAATACCAAGGAACTTAATATATGTACACACATATACACACAGAGATTTCTTTGGTAACTTTTACAATATAATGGTTATGAGCCAGGCATAGTGGTCCATACCAGTAATCCCAGCCTCTATGAGCCTGAGGCAGGAGAATCACAAGTTTGAAATAAAACCTGGACCACATAGTAGAAATCTGTTTCAGAAAAAGTACCCAGTTTTATTTTTATTTTTTTTATTTTTATTTTTATTTTTTTGGGTCCGGTTGTGGGGCCTGAACTCTGGGTCTGGGCACTGTCCCTCAGCTCTTCAGCTCAAGGCTAGCGCTCTACCACTTGAGCCATAGCACCATTTCCGGCTTTTTTCTTTTTGCTTATGTGGTGCTGGGGAATCGAACCCAGGGCCTCAGGCATGCAAGGCAAGCGTTCTACCACTGAGTCACCTTCCCAGCCAAAGTACCCAGTTTTATATCTTTTAGTGTATCTAGTTTTATTCTGCAGTAAAGAGTAAAATGATCTTGATTCCATAGCTTTGAATTACAAATAGTCTAAAATGAAAACTTCTTGTTTTATAAGGTGGCTTTTTCGGGAAATGAGTTCATAACACCGTCTTCCAAACAAGAATATATAGAATTAACAACAAAATTTAAGGTGAGTCCTGATTTCATTTTAGTAAAAATTATATCCAGGTATTAAGTACTATCTGAATTAGGGATTTGAAATCTTTGCATTAAAAATTATAGTATTTTAATTTACATTTTTATTCCAGTTCAAATATTTTAAAATAAAGTTGTTTTCTCTCTCTGTAAAAGGTAGGATGCATAGAGATTGCTAGAGAAAATTTACTGGAAAATCCATTGTAAATGCAAAATAAGTGCTACAGAATTTACCTTTTTATTTCAATTTCAGAAATTCCAATTGGGCAATTTTGATCATTTTCTAAGGAATGTAAGCAAAGAAAAGCCAGTCAGCAAAAAAGAAGACCAGGATATATACAAATGTATAAGCACTTTAAGTCCAGAAATTGTAGAGCATGAAGATCAAGATCCTCCTCACTCAAAAAGTTTACAAACTGAAGGTTCTTCTAAATCTAAGAATATATGTCCAAACCCAAGAGTACAGATGTTTGACACAAAGAGTAAGTTGCCTCCTGAGCCAAGCATCAGTGCAAAAAAGCCTTCAGATACTAAAGATAAGTTGAAATATGAGGCTACTATTTGCACAGTAAAGACTTCAGGTATTAAGAATAAGTTGCCACTTGACTCTACTATCAACACAGTAAAGTCTTCAGATACTACGAATAAACTAACTCAATGCCCCCCCGCCAGGAACACAACAAAGTCCTCAGCTACTGTAACTAAGTCAGTTCAAAACCCCTGTATGAACACAACAAAGACTTCGGTTACTAAGGCTAAGTTAGTCCATGAGTCTGATTGCATAAAGAAAACGTTAGAAACTAAGTTAGAAGAAAATCTATTAAATGTATCTTCACCAAACCTCCATGTAGAATCATCAATGAGTAGAAATTTAATTACACCCAATTGCTCAAAGTCATCAAATGTTACTTCTGATATAGAAAATTTAAAGCAATTAATGGTACTTAAGTCAATTTTAAATCAAAATCTGCAAGACTTCTCAGACAAGCTGTTTCCTAAGCCAGAAATTTTTGTGGACTTTGAAGCAATAAAGGACAGTTCTTCTTCACTCGCATGCTTTCAAGACTCACCACCAAACAGTAGGGAAGAGGAAGCATTTGCAAAAATCCAAGATATAAACCATTGGCTTTCAGACCAAAGCATTTTAAGTTCAAAGACTCTTTTAAATCAGGTTTTTAAAACTATTCCTGACAATGTCCTTCCTGACAATGATGTACTTCCTGACAATGTCCTTCCATCTCCAGAGGTAAAAGGTGTCTCTGAAAATCACCTAGACATTGATGGGAGCAATTTTCCAGTGAAAAAAAAGAATTCTTCTAAAAAGAAACATTTAATAATTGAACCTTCTAGCTTCAAATCAGATTTACGTGACCAAGAACATGACAATACCATAAAGCAAATATTCACTGCACCAGTTTTCACACCGTTGGGAATAGGAAGAAAGGAGCTGAATGAGGCCCAGATGAACTCGCCGAGTCAGTTGTCCACACCTTGCAACAGAAGTTCATCTTTATATAGACCAGTCAATGAGGGAGAAAAAGATGATAAAATACAATTAACACAGCCCAAATCTTTTATGAGCCAGATAATACAAACATTTCCTGTAGATACTCTTTTAGAATCTGGGATAATCAAAGTGATAGAACTCGATAAAGAACACCAAAGCTCTTTGCCAAATGCAGTGACAACCTCTTCTGAAGAAGAGTCGAAGGATTGCACAGAAGGCAAAAACAAAACAGAATCCTGGTCAGGGCATAATATATTTAGCATTGCTCAAAAAACAAATGCTCCTGTAAGTAGTGTTGAATATACAGAAGGTCTTCAGAATAGGTCCGTACGAAATGTGAAATATTCAATACAAGATGAAAAACCAGGCATGTCAAGTGAAATTCAGAGGCTTGATAAAGAAGAAAGTGATCTAAATTATACTTTAGAAATGTTAAATAACCCACTAATGGGTAATGTTAATGAGCCCAATGAAACAATGTTAAAATCCTTTTTAAGAAACATCTTTAATGTTTTTTTCAAATATAATCAGACTGAAAGAAAGAGAAAACCAGAAAAAGAGCTAGAAAGTCTAATTCAACGTTCTTTACCAAGTAATACAGAAAACGTGGAAGAAATGCAACTAAATCTTCATGAAACAGACAAATTAGACAGAAAATCGATTTTGAGTCCAAAGCTACGTTTGTTTCTAGAAGATCTCTCAGAGTCAGAAATAAAAAATTTAAAATCTGAGTTAAGTAAACATATCCAGTGTTACCTTGTAGAAAGACTTTCACAGTCTGGTCATATGAACAAGGAAGACTTAGCAGAACTCTACCAAAATCTGCATTTCATGCATGAGAAAACAGAACTGAAAGACCAAAATATTTCTCAGGAGAAATATTCCGAAATTGTAAAAGAGATCATGTCATTTGTAAATAATTTTAACTATCATTTCATCGACAAACATTTAGAAATAAAGCTAAAATCTTTTTTAAATGAAATCCTCCAGAACTATTTCCTAAAAAACATTTCCGACAGTAGTTTATTACAAGAGTCAGAATCTGTAACAAACATATCTCCTCTAAGAACTGAAAGTGCTTCAATATCTTTGCATGACTTAGCCCAAGGTATTACAAAGGGAAGTTTTAGTCAGAGGCTTGAAATAAACATGAAATATCCCTTAAGTGAATCTCTACAAAATAATCTTCGCACTTTATCAGAGAATAAATTACTAAGTATCAGAACTGATTTAACCAAACATGTTCAGGATCTTTTTATAGATAAACTTTCAAAATCAGGACTAATGACAGAAAGGCAATTAAAGGGGATCAATCAGCATATAAGTTTGTGTAATCCTACTTGTATACCATTAGAATGCAAAGAAAAAGGTTTGCCTTTTAGAAACGAAGATTACTTCATGGAGGAACATACAGAAAAGCAAAACAAATATTCAGAAACTGGTCAAAATACTCTGCAAAATGCTCCTGGGGATACAGGTATAGAAACAGAACTGATGACAAAGGAAGAAAAGGGCAATCCATTCTTATTCAATGTAAAAGAAGATCCATCAACAAGGAAAGAAAACCATTATTCTAGAGAAGGAGTAAAAACATTAAGTTTAACAAAAGTACAATCTACTTTCAACCAAAGTACCCCAGTGATTCCTTTAAATAAGTCCTCCGAAGGACTTGCAGAGCTGGTGCTTAAGAAACACAAGAAAGACCATGGCTTCATACAACTTACTCAAGCAGAAAATTCTGTTTATAATACAGATACTCCAGACCTACATAGTTGGGATGATAAACCAAAAATGATACAGTCAAAAGATTACTTTGAGAGGAAACTGGAAGCAAATCCTCTTGGAAGCAGGGAGAGTATTAATATTTGTAAGTTGACTGTTCGGGAAAATCCTGTAGCAGCATTGTCACCATATCCAAGAATTCCTAGTGACAAAATGCCAGGGGAAGATGACCACTTAAATAGATTCACTTTCTCTTCCTGGCAAACTAACACCGTAATTCAGTTCAATTCAGAGAGTGAGGAACCATCAAAATTAGACCAGTATTGTCAGAGATTAAAAGGAAATAACAACAACAATAAAGAACACTTAATAACCTTTACACAATTCAAGAAAGAAATACAAACTCTTTGTGTAAACCCAAGTGAAATTTGCAGTAAAAAATATGCCAAGACTCCTGAAGCACAATCATTTAAAGATGAAGAAAACTCAAAAACATCCTTTTTCCCAGAAGTATTGAAGAGAGAAAACATAAAATTCAAAGTTCGAAAAGAAAAAGAAACTATTGCCAAACCAAAAAGGTCACTTGACAAGATGGTAGGGATGCCATCTAACACACTGCCTGCTGCCAGAATTGATCCAAAGAAATCTGTCCCAAGGACTTTGCCTCAGTGCACTGCAAGAAGTACTATACATGTAATCATATTTTTCTCTAAGTTTTCTCCTTCTATATTTGGAAAAGTGCTGGGAATCATTTACCATAGCACATATATGCGCAAATGCAAATATATGTGTAACTTTAATTGTTCCAACATATACAGACTTCAATTTTAAAACATTCCTGAAATTCAGACATCATCTTACTTGATTCAAAATATAATTGCAGAATCAGGGCGACAGTTCACACACACACACACACACACACACACACACAGTGCTTTGTATGAAATAGAAAAATGGCACCTTCTCTGGGGTATGAATTGGCAAAGATTGTTCTCTGAGCAAGCCCTCCAACTTGGAGCAGCCTAGAGCTAAGGCTCATGCCTGGCTGGAGAGTAGCCTTGACTTAATTAGCCAGGGTCTGCTATGCAACCCAGCCTGTTGTAGCCATTGGCAGTGGGTGGACAATGTAGAAACTAACTGGGAGTTTGTCTTCCCAGTTTTAATTGTAAATACATAGGACTTTTCCAGATAACTTAATGTGCTACTTATTTTGTTAAGAATTAGGTATATGCACAATCTCTCTCTTCTCCCTCCCTCCCTCCCTTTCTTTCTCCTTCCCTCCCTCCCTCCCTTTCCTTCCTTCCTCCCTCCCTTTCCTTCCTTCCTCCCTCTTTCCTTCCTTCCTTCCTTCCTTCATTCCTTCCTTCCTTGCTTCCTTCCTTGCTTCCTTCCTTGCTTCCTTTCCTTGCTTCCTTCCTTGCTTGCTTCCTTGCTTCCTCTCCTTCCTTCCTTGCTTCCTTTCCTTCCTTCCTTCCTTCCTTCCTTCCTTCCTTCCTTCCTTCCTTCCTTCCTTCCTTCCTTCCTTCCTTCTTTTCTCTGTCTCTCTGTGTCTGTGTGAGTGTCTGTCTGCATTTGTCTCTTTCCTTTCTTGCTGGCTTTTTAGTTCAGGGCTGGTACTCTGCCCCTTGAGCCACACCTCCACCTTGAGCATTTTGCTGGTTAGTGGGAGTTAAGCATCTCATGGCTTTTGCTGCCTGGGCTGGCTTTGAACATCTATCCTCAGGTCTCAGCCTCCTGAGCAGCTTGGGTTGCAGGCTTGTGCCCCTAGCACCAAGTTTGTACATTCACTCTTTTTAGTGCAAACATTACAACCATATTTTTGAATGTTGTTCTCTCTCTCTCCATACATATATATAATCAGTATACACATATATAGTATATACATATACTAACATGTTTATTAACTGCTAAAGATGGACTGATAGGTAATGTAAGAACTAAAATATACTACTCAGAAGGCTGAGGATTGTAGTTTCCAAACCAGCCCAGGCAGACAAATCTGAGAGACTCTTATCTCCAATTAACCAGCAAAAAGGTGAAAGTAGAGGTATGTCTCAAAATGTGGAGCACTAGACTTGAGCAAAAAAGCAAAGCCAAGAGTGAGAGGTGCTGCGTTCAAGCACCAAAACTAGCATGGACACATGTGCACACACACACAAAAATAAAATATGAAAGTTCACATTTGTATTTAGGGCCAAGGAAGAGGTTATTTTGGTGGAGGATTACAAAGTATACTGTACAACTTTGTCTAGGAGTCTGACCTCTGCACACAGCTTTCTTACATTTTTCTGGTGTCCAGCTTAATATCTTCCATCCCTTTTGGATTAGCAGATCCTTTGAAACAGTAAGATTTTTTAAATATGGTTTCTAAGATAGGGTTTAATGTGGCAGCTCAGTGGAGGGTATAAATTGTTACTGCCAAGAAACATTCAATGCCTTTATTCTTTGTCTTGTAAATTTTAAAGTGTACTTTTAAGAACCCTAACTTGCCAACTTAATATTTTATTTTAATATTCAGGATTATTTGGATAAATTTGAGGATTTACATGTAACCTCGCTTAACCATCTTAAAAACTCACAATCAAGAACAAGACTTTTAGAAAGGAACCCAGATGACAGCTATAATCAGGCAAAACACTGTATAAGACCGTACACTGCGCCAGAGACTAACAAACGACGAGGGAGTGCCACTGGAAAATTCTCATGTCCTCGAATTATTACAGCAGACTCACGTTACATGTGCAGTAGAACCCCAAACTATTAGATGTATAAAATGTGGCCCAAAAAATTAAGGGAGGATGTTGAATAATGTTCACTTGTACTATATGCAGGTGTTAAACAGTTCAAAATAATATGAGGCTAATTAGTGTACCATTTCTCCACTAATGAAATTGTTTGGAGAGCTGTACATGGCTGTAATAGAATAGTCAGTAATGAAACTTCATCTTGTTCAAACTATTTCAACTGGCTAAAATAAAAAGTAAATGCATTTGATGTAATCATATTTTGTTTATAAATGTTAGAGAATACATGTACAAATACATAGTTGATATTAATTTGCAGTTTTGTTTCCCATGTTTTCCTCTATATAAATCCGTGACTTCAATTCTACTTTGGAGTGAATGATTATCTAACTTCCTCCAACAATTATTATACTCTAAATTTTCCTGTCCTTCTAGTTTTCATGTATTCTATTTGCAGTTACCTATGGTTAGCCTTTTGTTTTTACTCAAATTTATTCCTTAGCTCCAGTGATAATTCTAGATTCCACAGTTTGCAAATGTCTGGGCTTACATAATGCAGGTCAGTATTAACATCATCTAATATTGTATCTTTCTACAGTATGAATAAAGATCTAATACTAATTCCTGAGGCATTTCCTATGCAGGAATGACCATCTAGTTTGAAAAACTGTAGAACAACTTTTTATAATTTCCCCAAACCCCAGAAACTAGGAACTTTCTAGAATACTGTAGAAAGAGTGCAATGTATAACCTACATTAACATAAGATTTAGATCAGAAACTTCTAAGAATTAGTCCCATTTCTATGAAGCACAATATGTGTTAAAATTTGATTCACTCTTAAAAAGTAAAATTTCTAGGATACATATTTTTTTTTTTAGTTTCAGCTTCTCTAGCAAAAATCAAAGAGCATGGAGTCCAAATAGAATTGGCTAATAGAAAACATAATTCTTAATGGTTCTTTCAATGTTATAACCAAGGAAATGATTTTTTTATTGAGACTAAAAGTGTCCACATGTATAAGCTGGTTTCTTAGAGATTTTTGTTTTTGTTTACAGTAGTTTGAACCTCATACTCATTCAGTAGCAACTATATTTTAAATTTTGATGGGTTTTGAACCTAATGACATATGATACAATACATGGTACTAAACTGCAACTAGAAGGCACAGGTTCTAGTTAGCCCTGCAGAAACAAAGGAGCATCAGCTTCTAGTTAGCCCTGCAAAAAAAAGGAACATCAGACACTCTAAGATGCACTATGTTGCTAAGCCACAAAGTTGGGTAAGTTTGGTTATATATTTAATGCATTTTCCAGTGACCTTTCTGTGTAGCCCAGGCAAAATCACAGTCTTCCTTTCTCAGCTTCCTAAGTGTGGGGATTACAAAGGTGTACAACCATGCCCATCAGGATACTTCCAGTTTACAAATGGTTTATCTGGATGAAACGCTATCATAGTTGAGGAATATTTGTACTTGTTTCAGTTGGCACATTACTGGGAAAACAAATAAATCAGATAGTCTCAATAAAAGGAATACAAAGAGTTAGTTTTATGCATTATGGACCAAAGCTAAGAAGTCAAATGAGATAGTGAAGGAACCCAGAGAGCCACAAGACCAGGAGCTGCTCCCACCACTCAGGTGGAAGGGAGACAGGAGCAAATGGTAGACAGCCACTGCAGAAACACCAGAAGATGCAGAAACAAAAGGATGAGAACTAACCATGTTTCTTCCTTCTCCTAGCTGAGCTTTCACTGGAGAGCAAGAGTGCTCTGGAAATGTAGTTTTCAGGGAAGCAGAAAGGTAAGGAAATGGATCGAGAGCTAATAAGCAACTGTTCAGTGGTACGAGGAAAACCACTGATCTGGCTTGAGGTAAAATGGGATAGAGTTACTAGATGGAAGTGTTAAATCTGATAAAATTTTCTTTTCTTTTCTCCATACACTTTATTCAAAACAGAATGTCTTAACTATTGAATGTCTACACTAGTCCAGACATTTGCTAAATGCTAAGATTATACTAGTGAATAAAACCATATTCTTGATGAGCGTACAGTGTATTGGGGACACAAATACAGAAAGAATTACATTCGGTATGTGCTGATGGGCATTCTAGCTAATTTCAGTCCTTCAAATAACAGACATCAGCACAAGGTTTAACAAAAGGCACAGTAAAAAAAGAATTAGGCCAAGTCTGCCCTCATTCTAATTTCAGGAACCTGTGAATGATCCCTTAGTGGAAAATGCCTACATGTTAATCCTAACTAGTAAGTTAGGTTGCACAACATAAAAAGGGTCAAGGTTGCTGATCAGCTGACATGAGACAGGGAGATGATTCCAAACAATATGGTTGTACCCAATGTAATCTTAAAGAGTCTTTAAAGAGCCAAGAGGAAGTAAGCCATAAAAAAAATGACAGTGTTAGGACTCTTCCCAACACTGTTGACTTTGGAGGTACACAAAGGCCAAAAGCTGAGTGAGATAGTCAGCTTCCAAAAGCTAGAGATGACAGAAAAACATTCTCATCTAGAGCTCCCAGAGGGATGTAGCCTGCTGATGTCTTGATTTTTACCCAAGTGAGTCCCTTTAGGACTTCTAAATAATAGAACTGCAAAAGGAACTGGTGGTATTTAAAGTAGGTTTGTGGAAATTTGTTATGGCAGCCATAAAAAACTAATGCAAGAGGTGACTTCAAGCACAAAATTCAAGTCATCATACACACAGTGAAGCTATCCATCAATCACAAGAGCCACTGCGATGGTAGTTTTTTGTTTTTGTTTTTTGTCTGTCATGGGGCTTGGGCTCTGTCTCTGAGCTCTTCAGCTCAAGGCTAGTGCTCTACCGCTTGAGCCACAGTGCTACTTCTGGTTTTCTGAGTGGTTTACTGGAGATGAGTCTCATGGACTTTCCTGCTTGGGCTGTCTTTGAACTGCGATCCTCAGATCTCAGCCTCCTGAGTAGCGAGGATTACAGGCGTGACCCACTGGTACCTGGCTGCAATGGTTAATTTTATGTCAACAGTACAGGGTCACAGAATGTGGTGTAGATATTTAGCCAATCATTATTCTGGGTTCTTCTATATGAGATCATTTCAATTGGTAGGTTGAGCAAAACAGATAGTTAGGTGGACCTCAAAAATAGATTGCTGGCACCCTCAAGCACTATGCCCCATAGCCTTTGAACTGGAACATCAACATTTCCTTGCCTTTGAAAGCAAACTGAAACATTAGTTTGTCCTGGGTCTCCATCCTGATAAAAGATTAGTTTTTGGACTAGAACCCCATCATTGTTTCTCGAGTCTCCAGTTCAGCCTCCATAGTTACATGAACCAGTTTCTTAAACTCTGTATGTATGCATGTAATCCATACAAACATATATATATATATATATATATATATATATATATATATATATATACACTACGTATAAACATCCTGTTGGCTCTATCATCAGAGAACCCTAATATGCCTACAGGAGATGTGGGAAGTATCATGATCCTCCTCCTACCTTTTGCACTCCACACATGCAGGAGAATCTGCACACATTCAGGAGGATATTTAAAATTCCTGTGGGCTTCTTTGGGTGAGGTGAACTTAAGAAGGAGAAGTACTCACCTCCAGTGGGATCAACTACAGCGCCCACCATGCAGCCGCTCTTAGGGACCTCTACTGGTTCTCAGCCCCTCCTCCTCCACAGTCCATTCTAAATTCTCTCACTTTCAGCTTTCACCCTAGCACATCTTGGTGGGCACACTGACAAGAGTAAACCCAATGTTTATTCTTGAGGGTGTCCAGTCAATAAACATTTTAAAAAAGACTGTGCTTAAAGTTACCTGTTCATTTGTATATTTATGTTTTGGGTCTCAAACTTTTAGTCTTACATCAAAAATAACTTGTAATAGAAGTGAGATGTATAGATTAAGAAAATCAACTGATATTAACCCCTATTAACCTGAGTTCAAATTACAAACTCTTCTTGCTTATAAGGAAATTGCATTAATAATCATGACAGGTAAGCACGCCTTCTGCCAAAACCATGTAGCCTTAATTCATTAGGTTATGTAAACCAGTTTGTTTCAGAAATGGCTTTTCTTGGGGTAGATGGAGTAGAATCTGTGTTCCAGCTTTGTCAAACCACACAATAATAATAAATAAAGTATAATTCAATTCATTAAGTTTTTATTGAGCACCCACAGAGTACATGAATTTAGGATCTATAATTTACATAGCTAGAAAAGTGTTGCTTAGGGCCCTCCCTTTTTATAAAAAGCAAATGACATTTTCTCTATACATTTCAAGTGAATCATTAAATGTGAGGCTCAGTTTGATGTTACAATACATATTAACATTAACAGAATAAGAAGGGGAAATATACACATTTCCCTTCTCCAGAAAAGGGTATGGTGCCATAATAAACTAACCTGTTGGTCTAAGTAGCTGATAAAAAAGGCTAGAGAATCTGCAAGAACAAGATATCCTGGGCGGCACTGTACCCTGAGGAAAGCAAGATGTAGAAAAACCTGGCTCAAAAATTACCCTGGAAGTGGCGCTGTGGCTCAAGTGGTAGAGCGCTCGTCTTGAGCTGAAGAGCTCAGGAACAGCACCCAGGCCCAGAGTTCAAGCCCCACGACCGACAAAAATAATTACACTGAGAGATCAGGAGAAGTGGGGGTCACAGCTTGCTGTGTGTGTGTGAGAAATGAAGAAGAGATGATACTAACTGTAGCTAGAGGAGTAATTCTGATGCTGCCATGGAGTTGTGAAGGCTCTCTGACATAGAAGAGGACTAGAAAGTCATGCCCTGTAGACAGAGGGGTTTACATGATAGATTCTCCAGTGCACCAACTGTACTTTCAAGTATAATTCTGGTATTTGTACCTAGCAATACAGCAGAACAAGCAGCAAGGAGAAAGTGTCAAGTATATAGGACATGAAATGGCTTGGCAGCCCTATAAGTCCCAGTCTAGGTCTTTTTCATCTGAAAGATCACATTGTGGCTCAGTCCAAGGCAACACTGGAGGCAGTGCTTCTGATGGCTTGTTATAGGCAGGGGGCAACAGGGAGAGAATGCAATCCCGACTTTCTTCTTTCATCTGTTAAATTCAAAGTAAGACTGTTAGTACATAAATACGTCAGTCTTGTCAGCAATAAGTAATTTTTAATCAAGTGCTGGTGGCTCATGCCCGTAATCCTAGCCTCTCAAGAGGCTGAGATCTGAGGATCGCAGTCCAAAGCCAGCCCAGGCAGGAAAGTTCACGAGACTCTTCTCTCCAATTAATCACCAGAAAACCAGAAGTGCACTGTGGCTCAGGTGGCAGAGCACTAGCCTTAAGCTGAAGAGCTGAGGGACAGCACCCAGGCCCAGAGTTTAAGCCCCATGACTGACAAAAATAAGTAATTTTTAAAGGAACCATCTAAATATTTGAAATTATTTTCAGGTATACTCTCTAAAGGCCTTTAATTCTGATTATCAGAAAATAGGAAGATTAATACATTGATTTTTGTCATATTTTGTCCTCCTGTTATTTCTGACCAATAAAGAAAAAATTCTTTGATTTAAAATATATCTAAATATATAGTGACATATGATGATAAGTTTTCACTCATTTTGTTTTGCAGAGGAAATCTTTTAGAAAGTCTATTGAGTTGATGAAGATTTTTTTCAATGCAATAGCTTTTTTATTGTTATTGTTAAGGTGTTGTACAGAGGAATTACTATTTCACAAGTCAGGTAATGAATACATTTTTGGACAATTTAAACCATTCCTTTGCTTTCCCACAGTTTCCCACTCCTATCTGCACGCACAAGTTGCACTTCATTTTCTACACAGTGTCTACTGAGTACCATGCCTGCCTTTATTCACCTTTTGTCCCTGCGCTTATGCTCCCTTATATGTCCCCTCAAAAGACAGATAAAAGAACAAACAAGACAAAAACAAGAAAAAGCAAAAACAAGTATCACCATCTCCACATAGATGTACTCTTTATTTTAATTTTGTCTCTTGGCAGCCAAAGTATCCCATTAAACCAACAAAACAGAGTGGTTTTTAATAGTATTTGAAAACATCTAAGCAACAGACAATAGATAAGCTCACCTGTTTGAAGAATACATGGGACAATAAACTGCTTGCTGATGGCCTGAAATTTTTAATAAAGTTATTTAAGAAATAAACATCAGAATGCAGATTTTTAATCGATAATCCCAGCTACTCAGGAAGCAGAGAACCCATTCTAGTTATCTAGAACTCATCTCAACAACAATAAAACTCTGGGAGTAAAGATACACACTGTAATCTGAGTTATCAGGGAGGCATAAGTATGAAGAAAATGGTTCTGAGGCTGGCTCACCACCCCCCACCCCGGGGCAAAAAAAATCCCTGTAAGACTCTATCTGAAAAGTAACTGTACTTTCAAGTATAATTCTAGTATTTGTACCTAGCAATACAACAGAACAAGTGCAAGGAGAAAGTGTCAAATATATAGGACATGAAATAGTTTGGTAGCCCTTTTGTCAAAAACAGACTCAAAGAATGGCTCAAGTGGTAAAGTGTATGTCTAGAAAAACCCAAGCCCTAAGTTCAAAGCTCAGTACCACCCACTAAAACCAGAAATTATGTTAGAGCTATAAAACCCAATACTAAAGCATTAATAAGAAAAAGAAAAAAGCCAGGTGCTAATGGTTCATGTCTATAATCCCAGCTGTTCAAGAGGCTTAAATCTGAGGATTGAGGTTTGAAGCCAGCCTAGGCAGGAACAATGGTGAGACTGTCTCCAATTAAGTAACCAAAAATGAATGAATAGATAGATAGCCAGCCAGGAAGTGGACCTGTGACTCAAGTGGTAGAGTACTACTAGCCTTGAGCATAAAAGCACAGGGACAGTACCCAGATCCTGCATTCAAGCCCCAGGACTAGTACAAAAAAAAGCCAAATTCTTAGTTCCAAATTTAATTAACAGAAATAAATAATTCTAGAAGTATTCCTCAATTAAGCCATATTCAACGTTTACTGAGTACATATTAGACATATTCCAGGTACTAAGGAGCTAAAAGACAGAGATACGTAAAATAAGATACAGATATCTTCTATATAAAAATACGAATATATAGTTATCTAATAATATTTTAGACAAGTATATTAGCAGCAACTTACATTTTTAAACTGATTAGACATTTCTAAAATGCCTTAATAGAAATGTAGTAATTAGTATCTAGGAAGAGTGCTTTTTAAAAAAAGATAATTTTTATAAGATGACTTAGGTAGGAAATGATATGGAGCCTAATTATTCTGATTCTGAATCCAGTGTTCTTCCTATTTGCTTACTGTTTCTACTGGTTCTTAGCATTGACATTTTCTACATTACACATTTTTATCAAAAGATTTGAATTTGATGAAAAAATTTACAAAAAAAACTTACAAAACTTACAAAAAATATAAAGCACATACATTTTGTGCTATGTAGAGGTAACCAGTATTACCTTTTCTCAGGATCTTGCTGCAAACAGAGCTGTACTAAGCTAAAGAAGGCAGGAGAGAAGGTCTTCGAGGCTGGTGTGTGCAGCCGTTCATTAGTGACTGTGTGACTTCCACTGGAGACAAGTACACTCTCTCCAATCCCAGAGTCCACACCTGACCGAGAACTTTTCATTCTGGAGTCTGATTGAGGGAAAATACTGATATCCAATGGGCTATATGGAGGACCTTTTAGTTTCTGTAACAGCATCTAAGAGAAAGAAAAAGTTCTCAAACATTTTCCAGGCAAAATTACTAAAACAAAAATGATAATGAAGTTCTTCAGAGTCTATAATGAACATGTTTTATAGAAATTATCTAGAATGTAAGAATATATAAAAGACAAATTCATAGATTTTAGAGGCATTTTACCTGAGTCCTATGCATGTCCTGAAATGGGATCTGCCCACTGGCTAATTCACATGCTGTAATCCCAACACTGTAAATATCTGACTTCACATTATATCCGTGTAAATCCTGTGCAACACAATTAATTTGAAGTTTTTAGTGTAAATAGACAAAAGTATCTACAGATCCTGTTGTGATAAATGATGGTGAATGATAGAAAATAACCCCATAAGTAAGAAATCAGGATCTACCTAATGTATTAGTATGTTATATTCCTAACAAAATGTTGACAAGAAAGAGAAAAGGTCTTATAGCAGGCCATTCACCAATATCCAAGTATAAAGATGCAATTGTCCTTTAGTGAAACTCAGAAGACACTTGAGACACACAGACAAACCAATGCCACAGCCACACCTGACCTGTCTCAGTAGCTCTGGACTCAGCCACGGCTGCACTGATGTGCTGAACTGTGGGAAATCAAACACAGCCCTATGCCTCTGTCCGTGCTTAAACAAACTATGCAGATGGGACAGGCCAGAGAGGGTCACTAGGCCATCACCAGAAATGAGGATATGGCTGGCTTTAAAACTCCTAGAACAAAAAGAAACAATCCTAAGTACTAGAAATCTGGCCAATGAAGAAAAAATAAAAGTCTGGTCAGAACAGAGAGAGGTATACACTTAGAAACTAAATACCCTTTATAAAATATCAGTGTATCTAATACACATTAAAAATAGAAGAAATGTTCAGAGAAGTAGGAATTATTTTACTCAATATGGAACTAGAACATTTGAAAGCTGCAGGTTTGGAACAGTTAAGTCTTTTTTTGGGGGGGGGAGGAGTGGTCCAGTCGTGGGGCCTGAAATCTGGGCCTGGGCACTATCCCTCAGCTCTTCAGCTCGAGGCTAGCGCTCTACCACTTGAGCCACAGCGCCACTTCCGGCTTTTTTCTTTTTGCTTATGTGGTGCTGAGGAATCGAACCCAGGGCCTCAGGCATGCAAGGCAAGCGCTCTACCACTGAGCCACCTTCCCAGCCCCTGTTAAGTCTTTTTCAAATAAAAAATAGGACCAAATTACTAATTTTATTATTTTAAGATACTGTTGCAAAAATACCAATTAACATTTTAAGCATAAATTTATAATTTATAGTTAAATGGAATATTATACAGTAAAATCTTCTCATGGTATAACATCATTTATAAAGATACCATAAATTCTCTTTAAATGTCAGATAAATTATAAAAAAGCTTTAATTTTTTTATCCTATTTTCACCAACATAGCAGAATGTCAACAGACTGGTATGGTTAAGAAAACTTCAGTTATTTAGTGTACAGTTGGTTTAAAGTTATCAGCTAACCAAAATGCTGCTAAAAATGAATAGCAAGACAGAAAAACTTTTATGGAAACTGAATAAGAAAGCAAGCCCATTTAAAATTAATTTAATTCAGAAGCAAAACAAAGTCCTAGTGTATCTCAGATCATTGATCTTCACATTCAGACTATTACTCAAATGAATTTTAGCAACAAGAGACATGGTATTTAGTATGATAATCTCAAGGTGCTTTTTAAGGAATCAAGGAAGAATTATAATTTATACATGATATAAATATGGGACAAACTGGAAAGTACATAAAGAAGCTCTTTATTTGCTTGAAAGGAATAAATCACAACCAGCTAACTAGGGTCCTATAGCTAATCTCCTGAACATCCTGGTTCTTATGTCCCACATTAGACTAAGACTGTGCACTCCACGAGAGAAGATGCTCCACCCCAGAACCAAGGACAGTGCTTGGTACAGATGCCCTGGCCTTAACAGTTTTGGTGAATGGATATAAAGGTAAACATTTACTGAATACATCGATCCCTTCCTTTCTGCTTCCAGTGGAATAACCCTACATTCTAATACTCAACTGCCTCTTCCTCAAAGCTTCCTAAAAGACCTTTTCCATTACATGTTTTTCATTTTAGTCCTCTGTCAGTGGCTCACACCTGCAGCTAGTCAGGAAGCTAAGATCTGAAAGGTTGAGGTTCAAAGCCAATCCCTTCTTACTGGTTAGCAAGAAGCTGAGGCATGGCTCAAGTGGTTAGAGCACCAGCCTAGTGAGTAATCCAAGTGAGAGGCCCTGCATTAAAACTCTGATACTAGAAAACAAAATCATTTTATAAAATTCAATAAGCCCATACCTATGAATACAGCCATTTTGGTGAAGATAATTCAATCCTTGCACTGCTCCAAAGAGAATGTTTCTTATTAAAGTTTCATTCATTCCTTCAGGAAAGTAAGTTCTCAAGAGCTGACTTGCTGAACCTGAAAGAATTTTAATAGCAGCATTGAAAGTGATCTTGTTTCTAGGTATGTTGTGGATGTACTTTTCCACCATAAATGCACACATGCCATTTACTTTTTATGGTGCCTAATTTTTTCAAATGCAAAAGTGCTTTTCCTTCAGGAATTTCAAAACATTTTTGAGGGAGTCTGGGGATAAAGCTCAAAACCAGAGTGCTTGCCTACAATGTTAAAGCCCTGAATTTGATTCCAACACCAGTAGGGAATTTTTTTTCCCCTAATGATTTCCTAAGAGATTAGGAAAGAAAGCTAACTATTTTTCAATGATTTTCTGTGATTAAAAATATATGCTATAAGCCAGGTGCCGGTGGCTCACGCCTGTAGTTCTAGCTACTTAGGAAGCTTTAATCTGAAGAACATGGTTCAAAGCCAGCCTGGACAGGAATGGCTGTGAGACTCTCATCTTCAGTAAACTAACTCAGAAAAAGCCGGAAGTGGTACTGTGGCTTAAGTGGAAAAGCACTAGCCTTGAGCACAGAGAGGCTCAGGGATAGTGCCCAGGCCCTAAGTTCAAGCCCCAGGACTTGTAAAACACACACACATACACACACACACACACACACACACACACACACACACACACACCCATATTATATATGTAGCGTATGATTTCTTTGTAATCCAAAAGCAATTCACAAAAGCTGTTCTAAAGATCAAAGCTCTAAACTGGGAGAGTCTGAGGGAGGGGGACGACACTGTTCAAAAGAAAATGTACTCATTACCTGACTTATGTAACTGTAATTCCTCTTTACATCACTTCTACAATAAAATTTAAAAATTGTTTTCAAAGATCAAAGCTCTAGAATCCATCCACTTAATTCTTTAACACACTGTACACTGTATTGTGCTAAGTACTATAAGAGCACCTGAGGACCAAAACAGAAAATACAAAAGATCCTTGCCCTCAAGAAGCACAAGTGAGGGACAGGCACACACAACGATGTTGATAATACGATGAATTCAGTTTACAGTGCGGAGAAACGGGGACCAATCACTTCCCACTGACAAACAGGAAGAAAACTGAGGGGAAGAGATGGCTTATGTAAAGCCATGAAATTCTCAAGAGAATGAGAATGAGTTCCTTGATTATTATACCCATTCTACATTTTTTTTGAAGATTAAAAGTCAACATAAACCAAATATAAAATATAATAAACCAAATATAACCAACATAAACCAAATGTAAAAATAGGTCAGGATGCTGAGAATCAGAATTTATGTTTATAAGTTAAAAGTAGAAAGTCATAAATCTAAGATTCTGTTCATCTGTATTAACAATAGCATTCGGGCTAAGCAATGAGTTGTAAGCAGCTTTCTTACCATAGGCCATAAATGGAGAAATAACCCAAAGCCAACTGCCAACAGTGAAAACTGTCCAATAAGTTGTAATATTAGGGTGCCGAAAAAAGTGGGATAGAATCACTGCTTTCTAGAGTAAACACACAAGAGACAAGCTATTTTAAAATACTTTCTCTTTTCTCATGATGAAGACAACAGTAGTAGTGGTAGCTGCTTAGTGCTCTGCACCATTCTTAGTTCTTCTGACCTCTAAATCTCAGAAGTATTCTATGAAGTAAGATTCCTGTTTCATAAGCACACTTGACACTAGGCTATGTTCTTATTGTAAACACTTTTTTAAAACACACAGAATGGGAGGAGGGAGTCATGCAAAATACATCACAAAAGAACAATTAATAGTTTTTTCTAGTCTCCTTTATTTGTGCAACATCTATATACACATATTTTTTAAATTGAGATAATATCAGAAGAAAAATTTTTCCTCTATTATATACAAAATGATTAGTGAGGCTAGGCTGGAGGATTAGCTCAAGTGGTAGAGTACCAGCATTGAGCAAGCAAACCCAACAAGAGTGAGAAGCCCCGAGTTTATGGTTCAGAACTGGCATAAATTTTAATGATTAATGACAAGAAAATGGAATAATATTCCTGAAACATAATTCTGTTATAATTTATCAATATGGAAGTTAAATTTGCTTATCTGGGTAAAAAAGATACCATTTGCTTATGTTTTTCTATTCTCCTATATGATTATTTGTGATTGGAATAACTGAAGTGTTGTAAATCTCCAGGCTAGCATCTGAGTATGATATTCACTTGAACAAACCTATAGTAGTTTACTGAAATTGGAATATACTTGTCCTTTCACTTGGAAGCCAGATCCAGGTATAAGTATTCTTACTTACTTAGTGACTAAATATTAGTCTGGAGAAGTCTACCTTTCCCTAAAACAAAGACCTACCAATTTCATGAGACAAATTCTAACAGATACAATCTCTTCAACAAGACATTAATAAATATGTCCCTTCTTCATATCATTACCTGTAAAGCTTTCAGCTGTTCTTCATTGCAGTTTTCAAGATTTGTAATTTTTATAGTTACCAGTGTTCCTGTAGGAGTATGCCGAGCAAGATGGACAGAGGTCAAGTTGTCAAATCCTCTTCCTGGAATTGGACATAAGATTCTTGTTAGCAACCAACAGAATTGATGCTGTGCATTTCATTAAAATTCCTTCTCTTCAAAACACACCACTACGAAATTAGAGTTCAGTCAATCTCAGCAATGCAGTAATAGCCCAGATCTCAGACATCTGGCTTACCCGCTGTTTCAACACAAGCTCTTTTTTAGCTGTCCAAAAGGAAAGTTGTTACTATCTAACTAGCCCCAAACTGACTCTCATAATTGCATGATTTTGCCCAGTCTTCAGTGTTTTCTAAGTTTCAAATTACAAATCTCCATCATTCCATGTTTGAATTACCTACACAGTTCCATGGTCCCTAGATCCATGCAAATTTTGTGACCTTTCCTTAAAATTTGTCCTAATGGAGGATGTCCTCTTGTTCACCTCTTAGTCACCAGCCTCAAACTTCTTTGGGTGAACGGGAGACATTTTGTTACCTGCTGGACAATTTTTGAGTGAGGGCTCATGCTTCACACATACTTAGGTCTTCCATCTTCTTTCTGGGGTCAAAGACATGCTCAGATTCATGAATTTAGATCAGGGCCATGTGGGGGAGAGTGGAAAGGAACTCTCTAAGGCCTTTTTGAAAACACCACAGATCTCAATACAGGTTCAGGGCCTCAGAGTGCCTGATAAGCCTAGAGGAAGGTTCCTATGTCAGGTATGTCCTTCTTGTGCTTAGAAAGGTTGTATCCACTTACTTGTTCCACATTCATTTCAATTTGTTATTGTATTTTCTTTTTGTAATAAAATTTTACTTAGGAATTGAATTTTTTTAAAACTAGGAAGCTCTGTATATTTATTTCAAAAATTTCAAAAGCATATTTATTTTACAATATGCTTCCCCCTCTGAAAAAGAGAGAAAATGAAAACATAATCTATTTATATATTTATATCTGACTTTATATATTTATATATATAAGTATTTTTATATATTCATATTTTTATCTGATTTATATATTTATATCTGATAAGACTTCCATCCAGAAGCGACAATAAACAATTCAATTAAGAAGCAGGCAGAGGATTAAATAGACAATCTACAAAGTAAGATATGAGGTCCATAAGCAAATGAAGACAATGACATATAATCGCATAGCTATTATATGGCTAAGACTGTGATTTGATAATCTAGTTAAACAAAAGAATACTAATCAGCAGTTTCCTATCCCTACCTCTAGTCCCAGTAACCACAGATCTGCTTGTTATATAAATGGTATCATTTGTGATTAATTCCTTTGCTTCACCAATGTAGCATAATTCTTTTGAGATTCACCCTATTTTTGAGAATAAATCACCATGTATGTTTCAAACATAAATATATACACATATATTTGTATACACATAAACACATGTATGTATACAAAAGCTAGAAACAAGAACTCATCTTGTTCCATCTAACTGCGAAAGGTTTCTACACAAAAAATATATATTTTTAAATTAGAAAATAATTTTAAGTATTATAACTGAAAGGTTTACATTATTTTAATTCCTACCCACTATAAATTATTCCCACAAAGTTAGATGCTCCCCACAATAAGGATACAATAAGCATTTTAGTATTATCTTCCTTCTCTAAATGTACCAGTGAAAATGTAAAACTTCCAGATAGCAAACTTAAAAAAAAATCTACCTATCTCACTGTTGTGATATAATAAAATTAAGTTATTTAACTAACACAGTGGATATCCAACTTTTAAGCTATAATATCAACAGAGAAATAATTGCCTATAAAACAATCTGTCAACCATTTCATTTCAAGCAATGAAAGGTTAGTTATAGGAAGTCCAGGATTCTTACCTATTTCCACCTGCAGTTCATAGTGAGAAACATTGGTAGAACGTATTGCTTCACTGGTTCTAGTGGATGGAGGTGACCAGGAAAGGGATGGCTCATCAACCTGCATTTATTTCACAAAATGAAAACAGAAAATGTATAAACATTGCCCAGCACTGCTTATGCATGTAATCCTAGCTACTAGGAGGTTGAGATCTGAGGATTGTGGTTTGAAGCCAGCCCAGGCAGGAAAGTCTATGAAACTGTTTTCTCCAATAAACTACTCAGAAAAAGCCAGAAGTGGCACTGTGTCTCAAAACGGTAGCACACAGGCTCAGAATTCAATAACTAGGACTGGCCAAAAAAAAAAAAAAAAAAGTATAAACATTTAGACTATCAACTGACATTGCCACCCCAACAGAAAATGTTGATACTGTATTTTCAAGCTGACAGGTACTCATTAAGATGACACCAAAAGTAGCTGGAAACTGATTTTTAGATCTACAGGGAAGTTGCCAATTGATAATTGATATTAGAAAGTTTTCTTTTTTTTTTTTTGGGTCCGGTGTGGGGCCTGAACTCTGGGCCTGGACGCTGTCCCTCAGCTCTTCAGCTCAAGGCTAGCGTTCTACCACTTGAGCCACAGCGCCACTTCCGGCTTTTTTCTTAGGTGGTGCTGAGGAATCAAACCCAGGGCCTCATGCATGCAAGGCAAGTGCTCTACCACTGAGCCACCTTCCCAGCCCTGATATTAGAAAGTTTTCTACATGGAAAGCAGGAAAGGATAGGGAAATGCAGGTTTACAAATAGCAAGGAATGAGTCCAGCGCAATTTGTAGTAAAATGTATAGAAGCTGGGAAGAATGGCTGAGAAATCAGGGTGTGTGTTGAGTATACTAGAGCTACAGTGACTTGTGAGGATCTTCCATGCCTGTGGTCCTGCTCCCACTCATCAGCTATATCCATTTCTCCTACAAACTGCATGCTTCACTAGTAGGTGTAGTAACAGAACCCCTTCCATATCACAGCTATTAAAATGGTGAAGAAGTTTTCACAAGATGAAATGAACCAAAAGGAAGTAAAAAAGAAAGCCATACTTAAGGATAAGAGCTTAGGGTCTAGCTTCCCCAGGTGAAGAAGCACACGCCAGTATGAGGTCTCCTGGGGAGCTCAGGAGTCAGAGTGAGGCATGGTTAACTTTAGAGATGGGCTTTTCTCTAGATAGAGTGCTTTTCAAAGTTATAAGAGACACAAATCATTTGGCAAATCAGGTCTGTCCTCCAAATATAACTGCCTAGCAAGCATGAGGACCTGAGTTCAAACCCCAATACAGCAAAAATAAATAATAAACAAATAATATGGATAACTAAACTATGATAACCTGACAAAATCATTTAAAAATAGACTTCTGTAGCTCCTTAATGGAAGTTTTCAAGCTGGCAAGTGGCACAAGCAGGCCTGTCTTGGTAGAGTAGTTAACACTAATCTGAGCACTATGGGAGAGGACTCCACATTTAGGAGCAGACACATGTGGTCTAGTCTCTGCCCACTGCAGATTGTCTGTAGGCAGTGAGTCATCCTATAACAGGCCAGGTCTGTGTGGGGGATGATGTAAAGGAGAGGAAGAAAAGACAGACTCCTAAGACTTGGTGTCTAGCAAGATTTAGTGCTGTGAGCAGAAGCAGTGTGAAGACAACTCTGAAGTCTCTGGTTAGGATGACTTACTAGGTTGGTTTTCATTAGCCAAAGCAAGAAACACAATTGGTTGGTGAGGTCTGAGAGAAGATTTAGGTTACACTCAAACTCAGTAGGTGTGCCTTTGAAGAATCTTCCTGGGATAGAGATCCTATACCTGACTCTTTGGACATGTCTAGAGAGTACAGTCTGGTAATTATCAGTTCTGCTTGATGCCAGGTTCCTCTCAGGACTTCTAAGGTAGACCCAGGGCAATAAGAAACCTGAGGAACTAAAACTACAGCAATAGGTTAGACTGCTTAGGGAAAGCTGGCTTAGGAAGAAGAGGTCAAGTCAATTTCAGACTCTTGCAGACTAGCAGCAGGAAGAAACAGGAAAAGACACTGCCAAAAAAAAGAGACCCAGTGAGGATTCTTACAGAAGGCAAAGGAGGTACATGAATTGTATTCAACCAATTTCTTACCAAGTATTGATGGATACTGGTTTCAGACTGTTTTTCTGGCCTAAGTGATTCAACTCGTGTTCGTGAAGTACAGAAACAATCCTAGAAATAACAAAGACATTAAATAAATGGAAATAAATAATGGAACAGGACCAGTGGAGGGAAAATATGGATGCAAAATGGTCTGATGCATGTGAATGGTATGAGGATTTAACATGGAGGTAGGCATTCATAATGGGGGAGAGAAGAGAGAAACAGCAGAGTGTACAGAAGTCTAATTTCTTATTAGAATTGAAGTTGGTGTATCTCTGACTCTTGCCTTCTCTTTTCTTGAGATTTTACTGTCAATCCATTTTCACTCTTGGTGTTAAATTTTAAGTCCTTCATCACCTTTGATAAATTTCAGAATATTTTTCTAAAGATTATTTTCTTCTGAATAGTTAGCTAAAGAGTATTCTATTGTAGTCATTGTAATTTTATTTTGATCCTCGTATATCTTTCTTGACATTAAACCAACCACTTACTTCTTTTTTATTTTTATTTTGGTGCCAGTCTTGGGCTTGAATTCAGAGCCTGATCCCTAAGCTTTTTTTGCTTAAGGCTAGCACTCTACCCCTTGAGCCACAGATCCACTTCTGGCACTTTTGGTGCTTAATTGGAAACAAGAATCTCACAGACTTTCTTGCCTGGACAACCACGATCCTTAGATCTTTGCTTCAAAGTACATACTGAGTATATTTATTACAGTTTTTGTTACTTACGATGACAAACATGTCCAACTCAAAGCAAATTCAAAGAGATCGCTTGTATTATCACAATTCATATTTTCCTGAACATTAGTTTGTGGATGTTATTATATATTGCCTATAAAGAATGTAACTATGATCTAGCATATCAACTAATGAGGCGAAGCTAATCTCATACTATTTAAGAAGAAAAAGAATGTCAAAAGAAAACTATAAGTAAATTATATGACTGACTCTTGTAAGAAATTATTTTCATTAATCTCATCAATGTTTATTTTTATATAAACAGTGTAGTACAATACCAAATGATTCTCTTAAAGCCCATCCATGTCTACTTAACAATTTTATAGTCAGTTATTTAAAAGTACTTAAACAGCCAGACACTGTGGCTCATGCCTGTCATCCTAGCTATGCAAAAGGCTGAGATCTGAGGATCATGGTTCAAAGCCAGACCAGGCAGAAAAGACTGTGATACTTTTATCTCCAATTAACCACCAGAAAATTGGAAGTGGCACTGTGGCTCAAGTGGTAGAGCACTAGCCTACCAGCAAAAGAGCTGAGGGACAGTGCCCAAGTCCCTGAGTTCAAGCTCCATGTCCAAGAAAATAATTAAGTAAATAGTAATCAAACTTCCTTTATTTTAAAATATGCTAGAATTTCTCATAAGCAAGCAAGTCATTTCCCAGTTAATCTAATTTACTGATTATAAGGTACATAATTTCCAAATGACAAACTTGTATCAAATTATAAATCAAAGTAATCCTGTAGAGCAGGATTACTGATCAATGAAACACCAGCTATCTGTGTGAATAAAGTTTTATCTGAACAGTTATTCATTTCTGCATGCAACAAAGTAGAAAAGTAGTACCATGAAGATACTATCTGGCTGGGCGCTGGTGGCTCACACCTGTAATCCTAGCTACTCAGGAGGCTGAGATCTGAGGATCCTGGTTCAAAGCCAGCCTGGGCAGGAGAGACCGTGAGACTCCTATCTCCAATAAACCACCAGAAAACCGGAAGTGGTGCTGTAGCTCAAGTGGCAGAGCGCTCGCCTTGAGCTGAAGAGCTGAGGGACAGGGCCCAGGCCCAGAGTTCAAGCCCCACGCCCAGAGTTCAAGCCCCACGACCGACAAAAAAAAAAAGAAAATACTATCTGGCCTTTAAAAGAAAAGATGCTCTATGTAAATTTACATGCTGAGTTGAAACCCCTTATACAACTATTTAAAGATTTTTTTAAAGTATGTTCATTGCTGTTTTAGGACATGAGATGTTGACTTCAATGTATTTTCCAGGTATATATGTTAAAGGCAGATATGTTATACATTTCCATATATCTAAGAAGACAGTCTCCAACTTCATTGTTCTGTTTCTCAGTCTTGGCAACCAGTGGAGTAGATTTGCAAATATGAGTCTGATCTATAGCTCCAATTCTTGGCACTTAGATGCAAATTCAAGATGAGGATGCCACCCCACATGACCGGCTCATCTCACAATTTTTAAGACTGAGATCATTGTTTAATATAAAAATTCCCTATTCAAACATTATATGATATATAAAACAGAAAACTACTTATTCTAAAGCAAGTATCATGAATCTTTTATACACACAAAAACAAATGGATATTTGATGTAGCTCATATTGTGAACTGATCCAAATGTTTTGTCTGAGAAGCCAGAAGGATATTTTAAAACTCTGTATTGCTTGACTTTGGGAAATTTTGAAAGATTGAAAGGATGAGACAGAGATAAGTGGGTGGGACTGGCATCTAAATACAAGATATATGTTAAAAAGTGAATATGGGACAAAGTATTAAAGAGTACCAAAAATTGAGATGTTCTTTTTGAAAGATACAAAAATTTACTGAGAATTTAATTCATTCACCAAGATATCAGTCATTCAAATCACAACACCCCAGGACAACAGTACTTTAGAATATGCCTTTTGCTAAGGTGCTGCACTGGCATCTAACTACTTACTGATGGCACAAATTAGATCAATGTTAACAAAAACTTACCAGAAGAGACATTGAATCGCTTTGGTTCACAGAAAGTGACAAAAATCCATCTATTCAAAAGAAGATTTCTGCTTTATCTTCAACCTTCAGAAATGCTTTACTTTAAAAAAAAAATAGGCAAGATTAGATTATGTTAAAGTGCCTCAAAGAACTAGTTGCTATGACCTCGCCTGGTCTTTAGTATTCCTTGGTATGAAGGATGAGAGCCATTCCTACAAAGTTCCTTGAAAGAACATTTATCTTTACTGAATACTAGATGGGATCTGATAACAGAAAGGCAGAGTCAAGTTCAAAGGGACATTTTTGACAGTTGGATATTTCTATAATCTCTAGATACTTGTAGGAGCGTCACTCAGGAAAGCATATGCCGAGCAAGCTTGATTACTAGTACTACTGTATGTATGTGTGTGTGTGTACCTGTTATTTATATGAAACTATTTTATTAAAAATAAACTTCAAAAATTTTTCCAATGGTTCCATTAATAAGTACACTTTGAAAAATTTAGATTTTTTTCTGATTGCATTAGTTACCCATAAATTATTTGAAGACCCTGATTAGCAAATCTGGAGAAGTAGTTAATATGTTCTTATTGCTGGTTAGAAGAAAAACATTCTTTTTTAAAAAAAGTTTTCATGTAAAAATGACATTTTTTAGCAGATTAAGCCTTCTTTTGTTTCAGTACAAAGGTTTGAACTTACAGTCTTAAGCTTGCTAGGTAAGAACTAAAGCCTTATCTCCAGCCTCCCCCGTCCCTTTTTTTCTGGTCAGTCATGAGGCTTGAACTCTGAGCCTGGGTGCTGTCCCTCAGCTCTTCAGCTCAAGGCTAGCGCTCTACCATTTGAGCAACAGTGCCACTTCCGGCTTTTTCTGCTTTTGTGGTGCTAAGGAATTGAACCCAGGGCCTCATGCACACAAGGCAAGCGCTCTACCACTGAGCCACCTTCCCAGCTCCAGCCCCTTTTACTTTTACTTTTTATATAGGGTCTTTCATTTGTGCCTGGTCCAACATGAACTGCAATCTTCCTACTTATGCTTCCCACATAGCTAGGATGACAGGTGCGTGCATTCCTGTGTCCAGCTTTTATTAGCTGAGATGCAACCCCATGAACTTTTTTCCAGGCTAATTTAGGAACCATCATCCTCCCAATCTCCTCATTAGCCACTCTACAGGGGCAGGTTAATTCTTTTTATTTTATGATTTTTTTAGTGTTCATTTTGATTCTTGGTATGTCTTTACAGATATAAAAGATACATATTATTGTTATTATTAATTTGATTTTTTGAAATAGGGTCTTGCTATGTAGTTCAGGCTGACTTTGAGCTCTCCATCCTCTAGCTTTTGAGTGCTAGGATATTACAGGTATACACTACCATGTCTGAAAATGATACAGATCATTCCACAAATAATCTGTGTTCACTGTCAATACTAGATTTAGAATTCTAACCTAGTAACTTCTTTGGATTCAAGAAGACACAAAAACACAAATCAGAAGTTTCTAGGCCTTTACTAATAGAAAGGGCAGCAATGTTCTAAACTTAGTAGCACCACGTTGAACACTAAACACTATCACCTCTTTCATCTAAATCATACTTCTTTAATTTTAATGAAGTCTCCAGATTTTATCAAAGTATCTACAAATACCTAAGCAAAATGAGAAAGGAGGATTTTGTAAACCATAAATATTGTAGAGAAGTATCTACAGTTTTATTGCTAGACTAAGAAAGTGAATTTGCTTGAACCAGTTAGTAACTTACTAAGTAGTAAGTTAGTAAAGTTAGTAAGATACTAACTTTGTTAGTAAATTTACTGTCAACTGAAGGGGCAGGAGTTGCTGTGCTAGGAAATGAAGAAATCAATGTCTGCCAGAGTGACTGGGATCAAAAGATAATTCATCTGAAAGTGCTCTTTAACTAGCAACACTGGAAAAAAACATGGAAAAATGAGGAGGTGGCAGGACAAACTCATAAGGTTTATCTAGAAAATAAGTTGGCTAGCCATGAAAATATCCATAACTTGTGGCCCAGTAAAATGCACACTTTTGTTCTATTCTAAGGAGACAGGCAAGTAAATGAAGAAACACACACAAAAAAGTTTTTGTACTGTTATGTGTAACAACCCAGTAGTCATTCCACATTTGCTTAATGAATGGCGAGCAACCACAGATCAGGTACGTGCTGCACAATGGGGACACCCACTGGTAGGCAAAGCAAACAGAGTCCTAACCACTTGGAGCTGACTGTCCCATAAGCAAAAAGGTTAAGGATATTGTGACCAAGTGAATTTTCTGTTTATCACAACTTTGCATCCTGCTTTTTGTTCACCTAACAACAAAGCAATTTCCAAGACACTGTTTTATTTTTCAGGAAAACATAGGACACAATCTGTGAGAATTGTTGGTACTAAAAGAATCATCCCTGTGGGATGGTTTAACCCCAGAGGTTTGCATGTAGAGATACTGAGCTATTAAAGGATATTTTTACAAGACACTTCGAGGTCAAGAAAGCACCTGCACCTGGCAAAGGAGTGAAGTGGAAGATTTGCTCTCAATTTGCTCCTATGTGCCTCTCACTAGTATGACTACAAACTTTTTCCCTTAAAAAAAAAATCATACTTAAGCCCAGAGCTAGTATGTCTCATGCCTGTAATTCTAGCTACTGTGGAGGTTGAGATCTGAGGATTAGGGGTTGAAGTTCAAAGCCAGCTAGTACAGAAAAATCCATGAGCTTTTTCCAATCAAAACCCAAAACTTCAGAAGTGGAGTTGTGTCTCAAGTGGTAGAACACCAGCCTTGAGTGGTATAAAGCTCAGGGACAGCGCTCAGACCGAGTTCAAGACCCATAACCAGTACCACACACAAAAATCATACTTAAAAGACCTATCCTTCTAAATCTATTTACACTAACTCCGAGTAGACCCTTGCACGAGTGTCTAAAAACCTAAATTACCCTAGAGCTTCACTGACTGTACTTGTTCCAAAATAGAATGGTTCTTCTGAAGTCTCAAAACTGATAGGCTAACACTTTCAGGGGACACCAAAGGCTCTCCCTATTTATAGAACTTCAGAGGAGTTCATTTAAGTGTCCGATAGGAAATGAATCCATGAGAGAATGCAAAAAAAAAGGGGGGGGGACTTACTCTGTGGAGCTTCAAAATTAATATGCAAAATTATCTCGGACACTCGGAAAACCTAATCCGAGCAACTCTCGGCAGGGTAGACTGTCCCAAACTTAGAAGGGTGACTAAGGCTTTCCACAAACATTTCCTGCGCGCCCCGCGTGCGCCCGGCGCGTGCGAGGCGGGCGCAGTCACACGCCCCTCGGAAGCGTGGAGGAAAAGGCACTGGACGCAGTCACACACCCCACGCGGAGAACAACGCCGCGCGCCGGCAGGACCAGCCACGCTCCGGCATTTCGTTTAGTGACTCATCCCTAGCCGAGCTGCGGCGGCAGAGCGAGCCTTCTGGTTGCAAAGCGCCAGGCTGGTCATCGAGGCCAAAGGTGAGAGTCAGGGTAGAGGACGCCGCGGAGACTCGGCGGGTGCACCTGGCACGGCCATGCCCGGGCACCGGGAACCCGGCCTTCGGACGACCCCGCCACCGCGCGGCGCTCCGGGCCGGACTCGGGCCACGCTCCGCCGGCCGAGCGTGCCAGCTCGGGCTCCGGGAGGGCGGCCAGCTCTGGCCCGAGGCTTCTCCGTTCCCCACCGGCCCTTACACCTTTCCCTCCCAGCCTGCCTCACCTCGTTACCCTAACGGCGACCGAGGCCAGCGACTCTTCCAGCTGCCGGCGCTGTCGGGGGTGGGGGCGGGGGGTGGGGAGGGCACCGGATCCCCGAAACCTGGGACCTCGGGCTCGCAGGCAGGAAAAGCGAGCGCGCAAGGCCCGCTCCCAGCGCGGGCCACAGATACGGCGGCGCAGATACGACGCGGGGGCCGTGGGCCTGGAACTCTGCCCCGGCCCCAGACAGCCGGCGGGGACCGGGACTCGCCCCACCCCGGGCAGGGTGCAGGCCCCAGCTGCTGCCCCGCCTCTCGCCCGGAGTCCGGCCGCCAGGGGGTGGGGCTTTCATGCTGGGGGCGTGACTAGTGGAAACTACAGTTCCCAGGAGAACGTGCGCTGGTACCGTGGAGGCTGCTGGGAGAGTGGGTCTCCTTCAAGCTTCCCAGTCGTGTGGGGGGGGCTGCAGCTGACCCTGCGTCGCTGCCGAGGCAAGGTCGCCGGCTGATGATGTGGTGAGGTCTCCCGCCTGTCCCTGCCACGCCCGGGTGCTTACTGACAGCCGCGGTCGCTGGGGCCGCGGCTCCCGGGCTGCCGCTGCTTTGGGGGTTTCTCCCTGACAGAGGGCGGACGGACCGAGAGCTGAGGACGCCGGGCCAGTCCGGTGAGTAGTAGCCTTTCCACGCGCGACTCCGGCTTGCCCTTTCCAAGCTCCCTGGAAGGCGGACGCGCGGGGTCCCCGCCCGGCGCCCCTCAGCATCTCGGGGGTCGCGCGCGGACGCTGGGGCCCGAGGTGGGACGGGCTCGTTTCCCCAGTGTAGCTGCCACGCCGGGTGGTGGTGGGGAAGGGGTTGCTGAGCTCTGGCCTCGTCAGGCACCCCATCTGCACCTCGGGGATTGGCAGCCTCTCAGCCTCCGCCAGACAGCATCCATCTGGAGCCTCGTCTTTGAGGATGAGAGGCTTAAGTGTCTGGACACGAAACCTTAATCCTCGCTCACCATCTGTGGCGTAAACTGGAGGACGGAAAGAGCCCTTTCTGTGGTGGGCTTTTCTCTGCAGTAGAGCCTGAAGCCACATGTCTTTTAAAAGAAACAGTTGTTGACAGATGTCTTCAAATCAGTACCAGCACAAAAATAATCCTCTCCCTTAGAGAAGACAATTCTGGGTCACAGTAATAGGGGTGAGGTCGGTTTCTTGTTCAGCACCTTCTGCACCTTCCATTTGTGAACCGAAAAAAAAAATGTAGCTTTTCATTTGAAATTTATCCTGTTGAAATAGACCCTAGAAACGAAATGAAGTAGTCTCCCCGTTTAGTCTGTTTCAGTAAATCCTTTTTGTGGCCTTCAAATCTTTGCTTTTGAATTGGAAGTCTGACCTACAGTGATCTCCAAATAGCATGTTAATGGTGGTGACATGACACTTCAAAACAAATGGTGAAGGACATTTGGTGGTGAGGAAGGGCAGGGATGAAGAAGCTTTATCATCAGAACAGTGATTCCAGCTTCCTATTTTTAAAATTAATGTCCAACGAGTGGCAGACATTTAGCAAACATACACAATATGAAAGACCTTTATAATCTCACAATTTTTTATTCGTATAGAAGGAGGGGATGGGAAACAACTAACACTTGAGTACTTGAATCTGCCTGGCACCCCAGGTCCGAGCTGTACATATGTAGTTCATTTAAATCACTTTAACAAACCTGTTGGGCTATTTGGAATCTCACACATTTCATTTATATAATAAGTGAAAATTTAGATCTAGATCTGCTTTGTAAATTTTATCTACTTCAGAAATTATAGACCATAAAAAAAAAAAAAAAGAAACTCCAGACCTTAAAAGCCAAATGGCTCAAAAGAGTTTTCAGGGTTGGGAAGATGGCTCAGTGGTAGAGTGCTTGCCTTGCATGCATGAAGCCCTGGGTTCGATTCCTCAGCACCACATAAGCAGAAAAAGCCGGAAGTGGCGCTGTGGCTCAAGTGGTAGAGCGCTAGCCTTGAGATGAAGAGCTGAGGGACCGCGCCCAGGCCCAGAGTTCAGGCCCCTTGACCGACCAAAAAAAAAAAAAAGTTTTCAGTATGGTTTCCTAATACTGGTTCTCCAATACACCTTGAGTATCTAGTGCAAGTTATGAACTACTACCTTAGTACTTTTGAACAAATTGTTCTCTCTATGTGTAATTACCATTCCTCACTGAGCTACTCATTAAGAGCCTAAGCAACCCATTCCAAATCTACCTCAGTGTATTTACATAAGAAATGATAGGATTGGACTTTCAGCAGAGAGGTCTTTTCCAGTTCACAGGTTTTTATGGTTCTCCTCTTAAAAGTATGAGCCAAAGGGTATTTTCTCTACTGCAAATGGTTAATATTTGTAGTCACAAAGTAGAAAGGTAAGATTCTTGAAAACTTTATTTCAGTTCCAAAAATATATCAAATACCAATATAAGGGATTTTGAACCTCTTTAGTTTATCTTGTTTAGTTTAGAAAGAGACTTGAGACATTCAAGTAACAGTAGAATGATTTAGTAGTGCAAGTACAATCATACCTGTTCAGAACTTCATTGTTCTTGTAAGAATAAGGATAAATATTAACATAATCCTGCATGTTACATATCTAACAAAGTGCTTTACATATGTTAACTTATCCTCTTAATAGAACTGTGTGGTTTTTTTAATAGGCAACTAACATACTATTCTATTTGTTTTAGTTGCCTGTCTATTAAAAAAAAAAAGGTCATTTAGCTACTGAGTGGTATAAGTGGGAGTCAAATCAGGCAAGATCAAATACTTAATATACGAGCACTTACTATGTACCATTATTTAATTCAGTGTTTATATTGTAATTCAATCTTTTTTTGTGGGAGTGGGGTCTGTCGTGAGGCTTGAACTTTGGCCCTGGGTGCTGTCTTTGAGCTCTTCAGCTTAAGGCCAGCACTCTACCACTTGAGCCACAGCACCACTTCTGGTTTTCTGATCGTTAATTGAAGATAAGAGTCTCACAGATTTTCCTGCCCCAGCTTGCTTTGAACCACGATCCTAAGTTCTCAGCCTCCTGAGTATCTAAGGTTACAGGCGTGAGCCATTGGCAGCCAGCATAATTGAATTTTTTATTACAACTACTTTATTTAAAATGGAAATGTCAGCATTAATTAACTTGACCAATCCTGCAAAATCAGTAAAAAGTGGAATCCGTATTTGAGCCCTTATGTCCCTTACTTCAAGATCCATATTCTTTTGTCTTTTTCATTAATAAAAATCTTTATTGCCCACTGTGCTCTGTGTCGGGATATAGTCTTCATTGTTAAGGAAGAGATTCTGAAAATGGAAAAAACATAGTTTTGTTAGTGAGCTGAGCAGTAGGACAGCAGTGTGCAGATATAGTATGGGAGCAAGTGAGAAGGCACTGCAGTCAGCCTGGATGAAGGCTTGGGCTAGTCTTGGGATTTAGCCTAGCCAGAGAAATGGGATAGGGATTGTTATAGGCTAAATTCTGCCCTTGTTAAATTCTTATGTGGAAGTCCTAACATCATAAACTCAGAATGTGAATGTATTTGCTTGACTTTTGAGGAGACTAAATTTAAATGGGGTCATTGCAGTGAGACCCAATCTAATCTGACAGGTGACCTTATAAGAAGACACAAAGAGAGATGCATTCACCCAGAAGAAGACCATGTAAGGATGTATCAAGAAGGCCAAGGAGAGGCCTCGGAAGCCAAACCTGCCAATGTCCTGATCTTGAATTTCCAGCCTCCAGAATTATGAGAAAATAAGTTTTTGTTAAGTCTGTGGTATCTTGCTATCACAGCTCCAGTGTTGTGCGCAAAAAGGAATAACATTAAAAAGGTCTGACTAAGTCAGTCGAATTTCATAGGGAGAAGAAAGATTTTTGGTTTGTTTGTTGTTGTTTGTCAGTTGTGGAGTGTGAACTAAGGGCCTGGGTCCTGTCCCTGAGGAGTTTTGCTCAAGGCTAGTGCTTTACCACTTTGAGCCACAGCGCCACTTCCAGTTTTTAGGTAGTTAATTAGAGGTAAGAGTCTCATGGACTTTTCCTGACTGGGCTGGCTTCAAAGCCTGTTCTCAGATCTCAACCTCCTGAGTACCTAGGGTTATAGAGGTGAGCCACCGGTGCCTGGCTTCAGAAGGGAGTTTTGAGAATGAAGATAACACTAGGCTGGAATTGTGCTCATATGGACATGTTGAATCAGAACCCCATGTACACCTACTTAAAGATAATAAAAAAATTAAATAGCATAAAAAAAAAGACTAGGCTGGAGAATTTTAGGATGATTTCTCATGAGATCACAGGGGGTTTTTACCTTTATCAGTAGGGGTTTGTACCATTGAAAAACATTTACAAAGACTGTTAAGGCAGGGCTAAGGCAAGATTCATGGAGATCCAATATCGATGGCTATTGCCATCTATATTGCATTCCAATACAAACTAAAACCAAAGCATTGTTAATGTAAAGTATACCATAAAAGGCACAGGGCATACATAGGAAAATTTGGAAAGAGTTTGTATATAGCTGTTTGTACCTAAGCACTGACTTTGCCTTTGACACTTTGCTTTCCTTATGTAGGTCATAAAGTTTTATACACCAATCACAGAATATTCAGTAATTTTCCATCCTAAAGAGTGATTTTATGTATCTAATAGAACTTCTAGGGTACTTATACTGTTCTAAGTCCAATCCTGTGACAGCTTTATGAAATACCTATTATTAATCTACATTTTTGTGTGTGTGCAGGTCCTGGGGTTTGAACTCAGGACCTGGGCACTGGCCCTGAGCTTTTGTGCTCAAGGCTAATTCTCTACCACTTGAGCTATAGCTCTCCTTCTAGAATTTTGGTGGTTAATTGGAAATGAGATTCTCATGGACTTCCCTGCCTGGGCTGCCTTTCAACTGCAATCTTCAGAGTAGTCAGCCTTCTGAGTAGTTAAGATTACAGACATGAGCCACTGGTGCTTGCCTATTAATCTTAATTTTGTACACAAATATACAGAAACAGAAAGAGGTCAGCCAACTTGTCCAAGGTCACATAGCTAATAAACAAGAGTTAAAAATCAAACTGATGGATTCTGTTTTCACAGACTATGTTGCTAACCCAATGCTATGCTGTTGCTGTATAATATTTCCAGATCTTTACTTGTAAGAAAAGAGGAGAAGAATAAACAAAAGGAAGGGAGTGTATTTGCTGAAAAGAATTAACAGTATATCAGAGGAGATGAGCAACTATAATGAGAGGTTTAAAATGTTGTGGTGAAAAGTAAGGTGATGAGAAAATTCTGAATTTTTATTGGAATTTCTGGGAAGGCTAGGTTGACAAAAATGGCATTCATGACAAATGATATCATGAGAATTTGAATATGTAGAATTGGAAGACAATGTTAGATATAGAAGAAATAGCTTGAACAGAGTTACAGGATTGAGAATTTCTGGTGTGTCTAGGAAGCCAATGAAGGCTGTCCTTTCTTTTGGCTCATTATGAAGGAAGTTGTGGAAGATGAGAAGCTTGGGAGATGAGAAATCTCAGGACGTAAAGGAAAGGAAAATGGAGAGATTTCAAGCCTGAGTGAGTGAAGTGGGTGTCAGATGTTGTTATCTTTTAGGAGAGGAAAACAATTCATTTACTGATACTCAAGTTTGAACTCATGGATT